AAGAGGAAGCCAGCTCCTAAGAGGTACGCCTCGCAAACAAAGTCGTTGTCCTACCAGCCGGCAAAGAAGAAAGCCTCATCTAATCCAGTTATTCTCCAAAAATTGCCTTATGAAAAAAGTGAAAAAGAATTAAAGGATGCAGTACAAAAAGATGTGAAAAGTTTATTCAAAAATGTAAAAAAGCAACGAGAAGCGAGGAAGAACCCAGAGAAATCGTATTTGTACCTAGCTCCAGATCTTCTAAGAAAGAAGGTGGACCAGAAAAAGCAGGAATCTCAAAAGACCCGGCCAAAATCAGACTACGACCGCTCTCACCAAGTCATTTGAGGCGGCGCAGAAAAAGACTAGACCAGGGAAAGGTGTTGCACAACTCAGACAACAATCGCAACAATCAGTCCCCTCTCTTGTCGTTCGTAATGAATATGGTTCGAACTTAGACTTAGACGTCGATTTTGAGGAGCTGGCTCGGTTTTACGAGGAAACTGGTTTGGACCTTGCCCAAGTGCTCGCTGAAGGACCATCTGCTCCGAAAGTGGATCCTTGGAAGAAATTTGAATATGGAAAGAGTCTATACAACCCTGAGGCCTTGGGTGAACTGGGTACGCAAATGTACCTGCTAAACAAGTGGTACATGGCGGCGTGTGAACGGGGAGAGGCCTTTGTTACTATCAGAGTTAGAAACCAACATTACTTTCGTGGCGATGACGTTATATATGTCGAGTTTGAAGAATTACACCAACTATGCCACCTGGACTCTCTCGACAAAAGTCTCATTAGCTGCTATTGTCTGTAAGTGTGATTATTTTCTACTATTAAAGTGTGTATATATAAAGCTCCATGTATATATATAAATTATATATCCTCACACTATATTTTTATATATGCAGATATGAGATGACAGAACTCAGAAAGAGAAAGGATAATGATGTTGGTTTCGTTGATCCAAATGTCGTATTCAAACACCCTGATCCTCCGCCTGGATGGAAAGCTGAACTCGAGAAAAATCTCATGAGGTTCTTAGTGAACCAACAAAACAAGGACATATTATTCCCCTACAACTTCAAGTCAGTGTTAAATAATTAATGTCGATCATATGGACATTTGTTCAATTATTTGCTTACTAGCTAAGCTATCTCCCATATATACATATGTTGACTCTAGTTAATGTCGATCATATTTATGTATAAAAACATATGCAGCAATCACTGGATATTGATGGTCATCGATATGGCCAATAGTCGGTTGAGAATCTTAGACTCGTTAAGAAAAGAGCAAACAGAGTACCAAGACATGATAGATATTATCCAAGGGTAATTTGCTCTCTCTAGCAACTATATATACCCCGATCTCTTAACTGCAACAATTATTAAAGGCCAATTTAATTTTTTATTTTATTGGACGCAGTGTTTGGAAAAGTTTTATTGAGGAACACCACATGAAACATTGCAAAGCGCCACTAGATGTAATCGCACATAAAGTAAGTACTAGCTACATTTATATATATATAATTTAATTAACACCATACATGCTTTCAATTCACCAGATCTTTTTTCTCGTAAAAGTGGGTTCTGAGGCAAGAACAGGGAAATAACTACTGCGGATACTATGTTTGCGAGTTCATCATGGCGTACTCAAAAAGAACTCCTAAAGAGAACCTAAAAGTACGTTATATAAATATATTCATATATTCATAATTTCTTTTATTGCTCATATATATAAGTAATCACGTGACCAACATATATATATATATATTAATACTTTTCCTTTAACTTTTATTGAAGACTCTATGGTTGAAGGAAAAAGTCATACGACGTGACCAACTGAAAGCAATTCAAGAGACCATAGCAGGATTTCTTAATGACCATGTCTTAAACCCCGCCGACGAGTTCTACAATGACGTGAACGAAACATGAAAGCCAAACCAGATAGAGTGAATTTGTTATCCCAAGGATATGATAGAATATACAATGCAAGCTTTATTTGTAATATATATACATACATATTATATGTACATAAAATAACGATATATGTATATGCATGTAATATATACGTTAGTTTCATACTTTAGTCTGTACAAAATATTCGAATATTATAAACGTGTAGAATACGTATAATATTAGCAACGTAGAATGCATATTCGAAAACCAAAACGAATCATCAATTAAAAATAGAAACAAAAAAAAAGAAAAAAAAACCTTTAGTCCCGGTTGGTAATACCAACCGAGACTAAAGGTGCGGCCGACCGTGGCCAGCCGGGAGGCCCCTTTAGTCCCGGTTGGTATTACCAACCGGGACTGGGCGCGAAACCGGGACTAAAGGAGGGGCCCTTTAGTCCCGGATTGGTGCTCCCGGTTCCAAAACCGGTACTGAAGGGGTTGAGAACCGGGAGTACAACCCATTTCTTTACTAGTGCACCGTGCCCGGCAGCTCGGCGCCAGAGACACTGGCGCCTAGCTCGGCACTAGTCACTCTGGCGCCGAGCTAAGGGTCCATTTTTTGAATTCTTTCCGTCAGGGGTCTATTCGTGAGAAACTTTCAAAAAAAAAAGACTAAATTGTAAAAAATTCGGGATGCCCCTCGGCCTCGACGGTGCCTCTCGCGGTCACTTGCAATCCGCGGATCTGAAGGGAGATCGAGCCTGATGAGGCCACCGATCGACAGCTATCTTTGCCATCACGATAGAGCATCCGGATAATAACTGCAATTCAATCGCCGTCGGTTTAGTGCGCGACCTGCATAGGGGAGCGTGTTCGGCTGTTCTGATCTCGGATTGTTTCAACTTATTCTCCCTCACAGAATACTATTAAATCATCCAAAATCAGCCGAGCTACAGTGCCCGAGTGTACCAGCCGAACACTTGCTTTTCGGATGCTAGGCCGATAACCATGCCAGCAGTATACACACATGTATGTATGCAGGCACGAAGCCAACGGTGGGGCTAGGGGGGCTCTAGCCCCCCCTACCTATCCTGCGCATGTGGAGCCCCCTTAAGTCTTTTCTTAAAATTTTATGCATATATGTATTAGGTAGGAGGGGCTAAGGTTAAAAGAAGATAAAAAAGCTTCAATTCTTTTGTTTCAGCCTCTTCTAAATTTTTTTCTGGCTTCGTCACTGGCCCTGTTTGGATACTCTAGCTCGGCTAGAGGTTAGAGCTAGTTTCTAGCTCTAGACTAGCCCTGAACTAACTCTAGCCCAAGAGGTGTTTGGATGCAAGAGTTAGATTAACAATAAATGTACTTTTCTAATCATTTGACTCATTTAAACCATCTTTCAGCCGGATTTGGTGTGGCAGGCTCTTGTGTGGCCTCCTCCCGCACACGGATGATACAAATACATTATTTGTACAAATCAAGCATCGAAATCACAATAAATTTTAATTTCTCCATACATATGAGATGTGTCACTCAAACTTACAAGTCCTCAATCAAGCTAAACAAAAAAAATTACACTCCATGAAATGAGCTAATTCATCACGGAAGGCATTCATGTTCACATCTTCAACAAGAGGTTCATCTTCTGGCCATGCTGATGCCGAAGAACTAGGCATTGGGTTATAATTTTCATCCGCATCACAGGCATCAAATTCTCTATCCGCAATTCTGCTCTCTCGAATAAAATTATGAAGAGCCATACAAGCAACAATAATTCTAGTTTGCTTCTCCTCTGGAAATCTTGGCATGTTCAACAAAATCCTAAACTTCATCTTCAACACTCCAAAAATTCGCTCTATGATATTCCTAACTTTGGCATGTGCATGGTTGAAGGTTTCTTTCATACCTTGTGGCGGCGGGCCGTTTAGCCATTGCTCCACATGGTACCTTGTACATCTGTATGGTGAAAGGTAGCCCGGCCGGTTTGGGTACCCCGCATCAACCACATAATACTTCCCTACATATTTTCAAAGGCACACAATGAGACTTAGATGAACAAGTGTAATTGGATAAAAAATTTTGCAAGAAAGTTCAAGTAGCAAACCTGGCGGTGGATGTGGAAATTTGTGATGATGAGTAGTTATGGCATCTTTGAAAACTCTCATGTCATGTGCTGAACCAGGCCATCCCGACAAGACAAAGGTAAATCTCATGTCGAAATCACAAACAGCAAGCACATTCTGACTGGTCTCATTGTGCCTGTTCAAGTATGGAACTCTCTTACTCTTATCCACCACAACCTTCACATGTGTCCCATCTATAGCTCCTATGCACTCGTTGAAGTGTGACCAGAATGCTGGATTTTCTAAGTTTGGGTGCACTTCTGGAAATGTTGGGTCCTTGGGTTTAATGTTGTTATGTGCTAACCTAAGGAGGCACCTCAAAACTATGTTAAATGTCCTGCTTACTGTCTCCAGAGACCTCCTAAAACGATTATCAGCCTGTCTAACTGACTGTGGTGCACCAACAATCCATAAAAACATAGCAAGAGCCTCTACAGATGCCATTTTTTTAGTGGACTTCAACCCATACCTCTGGACCAAAGTATTATGCAACCTGTAAAATAAAGGTCTCTCAACCCTAAACATGTTGTAACATTGGGTTTCTCGGGCTAGTGTCTCATGCACCCAATCCAAACCAGAATCTCCAGTTACCCTCTTAGGTAGTTTCAGGAAGTAGTTATCAGAGTACATACCCAAGATAGGTACCAACTGCAGAATCAAATTTTGTTGCTGCACCAAATTGTTGCGGCACATGGATATAATTTCATCCTCACTTGAGCTACCTCCATCATCTTCTTCTTCCTCAATCATGGGACCATGATCAACTTCCTGCTTCAACACATGTAACAAACTATCAGCACATAGCATAAAACTTGAACCAGGGTAAGCAAATTAATTCAATAAATTAATACTTCAACACTTGACATCACAGCTCATAGATTAATTTAAATAGGTTCAACACATAGCATAAAGTATCATTACACCACACAGATAATAGTTCACATGCACATATAATAGTTCACACATATATGATAGGTTCAACACACATGGACCGAAAAGATCTTAACTACTCCAAATTCTTGTCCCTGCACCATTTCTTGAAGTAACCCAACCTAAGCTCAGGAGTTAACTGGCCACAGAAGAACTCCCTTTGGTACTCTGTTTCGAACATCTTGGACATAGCATAGACAGAGTCAACGGTTTTCTCAACGCCACACTCAAATGCCAGCTCCTGACACCTCTTGACAGAAAATGCAGCCTTGTCATTTGCACGTTTCTGGATTTGCTTAGTGTTGGCTGCGACAGATTCTTTGAAGGTACTGGCTATGTCCTTCACAATCTTCACCATTGGGCTCTTGCTCCTCTTCACTGGACTGGTCAAAGTGCTTGTAGTGCTGTTCAATGCCCTCTTGCCCCTCTGACTCCTCTGGCTGCTTCTACTTGTAGGTGTTTGTGCAAACTCTTCTTCTTCATCATCTTCTGTCCTTGCATCTTGCCCCTCATTGTCACCATAATCATCACCAGGCACAAAGGCTGTGGTGCCATCCACAGTGTACCCTCTGAACAGTTCATCAAGCAAGTCCTCGTTTGCTGGAGGACTCGTCAGAAGCTTCTTTAAGTATGGTTTTTTCTGTTAAGATATGAGAGCACAAAAGTTGATTAGAAACTAGTTATGACAGGAGAATATCAGCTGTTTACAATAAAGATGAAAAATATATGAGAAACTAGTTATGAACGGACAGCTCAACTCAGAAGCAATTGACGTTTCGTTCCTGACAAGCCTCAAGAAACCTGGCCTGTGGCCAAAGTTCATATGCTGAATCGATCAAGAAATAAACATGCAGAAATAATAACAGTGTTGGTTCAGGCAGTGGCTGGCACTGCAAATTATTCATTGACAGTGTTGGTTCAAATTTTGATTCTTTTAATAATTATATATAGATGTATAAAAGTATAAAACTGGCTTTGTGACCAGCAAATAGATAGCAGCAGCCATGAAGAACAGGACATGGCTACCTGGAAATAAGAACTTTTGTTTCAATACGCACACTGTCAAATGACTGGAACTAATCGAATGACCTGTGACATCTGAAAAATCACCAGCTATTGTCCTTAGTGCATCAGTACCAAGATGTAATCCATTTTATTCGTTGATAACACAAACATGTAAGAACCAGAACCAAGCATTTACAGGCATCTAAGATGAAAGTGCACATTTTGCAGAACCAAACATGTAAGATCAAATTTGAAGCAAGCATAGAGTAACCAAGCATATGAGAGCACAAAAATATGCTAAGTAATATTGTACCTCTGTATGAGTTAGCCATAAATCATGATCTGCATCAATGGATCCATCTGGTCTCCTCCCCAACCCTGTGTGCGTTTGCAAGTAGCGCCAGAAAGCGTGGGTGTGTTTGAGTACGCCTATTTGGTTCTTCACTTGTCCACGGGTGTACACCAACCTTCTTCTGGCAAGTAAGCCATCGACAACGGCTTGATACCCTTCACCACTCATTTGTGAACCATTATACGTTCCTGCTCTACGTTGCTCTATGCACAATTCTAACAAGCAAGCATTATTTGCATCATTCCATTGGGCTCGACTGGAATGGCTCACCGGGGGACCGCCGGAGCTCGCTAACTCCTCCACGTTATCCTCCATTGCTTCATCGTCAATGTCGAAGGTACCGCCGGAGCCGGATGCTTGCCCACGGACGCCACTCCTCGGTGCCCTCGGTGCCCTCGGTGCTCGGGGAAGCGGTACGCCCTGGCCACCGCTGCCACGAGAAGCCGTGTTGGTGCGCTGGGGACGCCGGCCGGCTGCTGCGGCGGCCGAGTTCGCGCGCTGCCGAACACCAGCGCCTGCCCCCGACGACGACCTGCCGGTGTAGCCGCCACCGTTTCCTCCTCCGCGACCGGCTGCCGCCGAGGAGGAGCCGCCAAAGAGTAGTTGTCGGGCATGCTGGGGCGCCGGAGTCGCCCACGCGTCTCCTGCTCCGGCACGCGGTGGGCGATAGGGAGGGAGGCCGGAGCCCCTGCCGCGTCCAGGAAGGACCTCGACGTCGTCGGCCTGGAGGAAGTCTTCGTACAGCCGAATCCCCGGGAACCCCTCCGCCGCCGGCGCTTGCGAGTTGAGGTCGAGACCGGCGCGGGCAGGGCCGCTCGCCGACGGCTGCGAGCTCCACAAGTCGAATCCGTCTCCGTCCATCGCTCGCCGACGGAGGGGAAGGGCGCGACGGGAGGGAGGGAGGCGGCACGGGCGACAGAGATCCGCCTCCGGGGGGCCGCCGGCGCTGCTCCTTTGGCGGATTGAAGCGGCGGCGGCGCGGCTGGGACTGGCGGCGGCGCGAGTCGCGAAGGGGGGAAGCTACTCGCGATGGGGGATGGGAGTGCCGAGGATCCGGTGCGGGTGGACCGGTGGAGTAATAAAAAAATAATAGTTTTCAGTGGGCCCCACCGGAACTAGCCCAAATAATCACCTCTTTTGGGGGATAGTTTTTTGGGATGGGTTAGTTGCAAATAACCCACTCTAGCCCTCCTGGTTGGATACTTTTGGGCTAGTTGAGCTCAAACTAGCACAAACTAGCTCTAACCCCTGGATCCGAACAGGGCCACTGTATGCTTTGCATGCACGTACCCAGCTGTGTTTGCTCCTGCACATCCGACGATTAGCGCCTCATGGCCAGGCAAGTTGTTGATGGCGTATTGCAGAGTTTCCTGAATACACTCTCCTTCGTAGATTTTGCCGAAAATGGCCTGTGCTCACAGCAGTACATTATATAGAGAGAGAGAGCTGTGTGTTACTGTTCTGTAGCTGGTCACAGAATAACTTATTGTATAGTTACTTTGAGTTACGATAACTATTATACTAATTTATGAGATTACTGTAACTCCTTACTAAATGATTTACTGTAACATTATGATAAATATCCCCATGAGTTATCGTAACACATGTAAAAATTATCGTAAACAGAGGTGACTATAGAATAAGTTATTCTAATATATATATATATATATATATATATATATATATATATATACATACTCCGATCCCCACTACATATATGCTTTGTATTTGCAAATTACGTGTATGCGTGCATGTATGTACGGAGAAATCTGTGTATATATATACCTTACAGAAGTCCTTTGCCAATCTTTGAAACTCTATAATCCTATCTATATCACCTTGGGCTTCCTCTATGAATGGGCTCTCCATTCTGTCGAAGCTATCGAGTGGTGGGCCTGTACCAACCAATTGTAATACTTTGTCAAAAAAAAAACAATTGTAATAATGCATATAATAATGGAAAGTTCATCTACCTATAAAAGGCACAGCTATATATGATATCCTTATTCAACTATCTTTATACTTCCTCTATTTCAAAAATGTTGTTGTTTTAGTTTTCTCAAAAGTCAAGTCTTTCTATATTGACTATCAATTTCAGAAAATTCGTGTAGTTTAACGTCATAAGATTTGTGTTTTTGGATTCGCCGTAAGAAATATTTCATAATATATACTTTGCATGTTGTTCAACGTCTATACAAATTTATAGGAATTGATAGTAAAAGATAAAATTGTATGACTAAGGGTAAAGCTAAAACGACAACTTTTGTGAAATAGAGGGAGTATATACTAATTACTATATTGCAGGCACTTTTATTTTGGACCTGCATGGCAACACTTATATGAGGCATGTTATGTAAAAAAAAATCCTACCAAGTAAAAAAAAAAAATCAAAACTGCAGCAATGAATACTAGCTATAGAAAAAAAATTTAACGTTAGATGAGAGAAGAGAAACTCCGTATATGTAACAAGTACTATACTTGCCGAAAGGAATAAAAGGTGGATCGAGTCCTCACTACAAGAAATCAGGCTTTTATACTAATCACCAAGGAGCCGGACCTTTGTAGCTAACAGCTATATATTAGTTGCTATTGTTATTTAGGTTCTTTTTGGCACAGCTCTATGTCCCGCTCCATGTCAGATTTGTAGTTTATAGTTCAAAATAATGTGTCTAAACCTATATTTTGGTTGGTCTTCCAAACACCCTCTCTGTATCCCACCTCTAAGGCTCTAACTCCACGGATTCGTGGAGCCAGAGATAGCTAGCTAGCTCTATGATCCGTGGAGCTGTAGCTATGACAAATAGGATCTTTTTGTTGCAAATAAAGATAGTTGCATAGTGGTGGCTACAACTTGGTCAATATCGGCATTTATCATCTAACACCTTGGTGACCAAAACCCTATCTATGGCGACCAATATGTTCTATACTAGACAACATAATGATGACTAAATGTTTGTATCTATCAGTTGCTAGAATCTGTAGACTAAAAATCAGACTTATCTCGTGGTGCCTTCAAGCTGGACCTCATTGATATACTACTTAGCAAAGGAGTTCCATTATTTATTTCTTCAACCAAGTTTTTGTCTTATTAGTTTCATGAAAATTATTACAGTATCTCCATAGTACTGCTGTCACAAGTAGGGGTACAGATTACAACCTCCATCCCAAACAGTGTCATTCTGGACAAACTCTTTTTGGAACAGAGGGTGTAGTTCGTAACTACAAGAATTTGTATATGTACGCTGGAGACCATGCATGCTAAATATTTCAACGGGTGGGTTGCTCAGAATTAATGGAAGCTAATATAGGGAAGTTATACTCTATATATGGCCAGTTACAAAAATGTCTGAAAATTTACAACATCTAACACTAATATTTTCTATATCTTGACAAGTAATTAATTTGCTATCATGTGATCGTAAACTTACCTAACACATGCATGGTAAATATATATGCTCAGAGTAGCAACATAAATCTGTACAAACATGCTAGCTAGTAAATTACGTGGCTGTATAATAAGCTACTCTACGGTCAGCCACAAATTATATATAGCTCCCTTATGATCGACGCAGAATAAGAGGTACCGCGAGATGCATGGTGATCTGCCCTCCACCTGTCGGATGCAAACAATGCAGAGCTTGTACCCCACGGGGGGCAGTTTGATAAAGTCATGTGCCCACTTCAGTGCCATCAGGGGGCATAGGCGGCGAGCTGCGGCTCGAGATCGCCGGCGACTTCCGATTCCACCATTGTTGTAACAGATTCCACCTATACAGTTCTAAATCGATATCGCTACACTACCATACTATCTAGTGTTGTTACATCTAGTATCGGTTGTCTCGTTCGCATCCTGGCTCACAACCATCGCACCCGTCTCCAAGTCGCCATGAAGGTTGAAGATCAGCTCTCCCTCATCCTCTCGAAGCTCGACGAGCAATCCAAGGGGATCAGCGAGGGGAATCGGCGGATCACCGATGTACATGCCTCCATCGAAGATCTCAAGGCGGCGAAGGACGATTTTGAGCGCTGGCGGCCACAAGTCGACACCAAGGTCGCCGACCTCACCGACTGCGTCGACTCCCTGTGTCACCAGATCGACGAGCTCAAGTCCACGACCGCCTCACCTGCCGCGCCCCCCGTCTTCTCCGACGCTGTATTTGTCTTCACCAAAACGCCGGCACCCACTCATCAGGGTGCGTCCTCTTCGCAAGCGGCGTTTGGGCCATGTGGCCACGGCGTTGCACACTGTCACCGGAGGGTGGGTTCAGGGGTCGGCGTCACCCTCGAACCACCTCCGGTCAAAGGTGAGCCCCCCACACCACCAATCTCACCTCATGGTCATGCTTCGCATCACTTCAATTCCTGCTGTGGTCATCACAATTTCAGTCACAACTTGCCTCAACTTGATTTTCCAAAGTTTAATGGTTCCAATCCAAAACTCTGGATCAAACAATGTGAATCTTATTTTGATCTGTATTATATCACCCCTGAAAATTGGGTGAAATTGGGCACCATCAACTTCACGGGCACTGCAGCCTGTTGGATGCAGACCATTGAGCTTAACTTGCGTCATTGTCCTGGGGATATTCTCTGTCATAATGTCGTACACCGTTTTGACAGAGATCAATTCAATCACTTCATCCGTCAATTTTTTCATGTCAAGCAGACCGACACTGTCCTCGAATATATTACTCTGTTTGATGAGCTGATGCATCAGTAGCTTGCTCATGACCCTCTTGTTAATCCTGCTTTTCTCACGAGCAAGTTTATTTATGGCCTTAGTGATGTAATTAAGTCTACTGTCTTGTTACAACGTCCCAAAGATCTAGATACGGCTAGTTCCCTTGCCATTTTGCAGGAGGAAGTGTTACTGGGTCAATCTTCTCGTGAATATAAGAAGTTGGACCATTCTCAAGCTGTCAAACGCAGTTTCAGTCAATCTGTATCAGCTTCTGGTGGTCATTCAGTTAAGCCAGCTGTTTCAGATTCTTCACCTGCTGAATCATCTCGCTTCGTCCAACTCACCCAAAGGCTGATGAGAAGCTAGCAGCCCTGATGACCTATAGAAAAGCAAGAGGATTATGTTTTAAGTGTGGAGCTAAATGGGGACCCCAGCATAAGTGTGTGCTACTACTGTACCTCTGCATTTGGTGGAAGAAGTCTGGCAAATGTTGGCTGAACCAGTACCTATTTCCACCACAACTACAGAGTCTGATGATGATGATGATGAGTTAATGGCTCTGTCGGAACATGCTCTTAAAGGTACCTGTGCTGCTCATGCTTTGAAATTTGCTGCCTCCATTTACGACTTTCAGTCAGTGATCTTAGTCGACCCTGGAAATTCACATAACTTCATCAGTGAACAGTTAGCTTCCCAGTTGACACCTTGGACACCACTTGCCCATCCTATGACTGTCAAAGTGGCTGATGGAGCTACTCTCAAATGTACTCATGAAGTTGTGAATTGTTCTTGGTCTCTACAAGGCACATTATTCACTACAACCTTCAAGATTCTTCCTCTGCATTACTGGGAATGGAGTGGCTTGTCTTTCAGTCCAGTGCAAATAGAATGGAAACAGAAGTGGTTGAGCTTTGTTCAACAAGGACAACAAATTCAACTACAGGGCATTCAAGAAAATGTGTTCTAGTGTTCATAGATGATATACTCGTCTACAGTAAAACCTATGAGGAACATATTGAACATGTTCAACAAGTCTTTCTGCTACTGTTACAGCATCAGTTCAAAGTTAAGTTAGCTAAGTGCTCTTTTACTCAGCAACAACTCAACTACTTAGGCCATGTGTTGAGTCCTAATGGAGTATCTACTGACCCATCTAAGATAGTGGATGTTCAGAACTGGCCCAGACCCACTTCAGTAAAAGAACTCAGAAGTTTTTTGGGCCTTGCTGGATATTATAGAAGATTTGTTAAAGATTTTGGAATGCTTGCTAGACCATTGACTGATCTTCTAAAGAAAGGGGTTATGTTTGTTTGGACACACAATACAGAGACTGCATTTCAGTTGCTGAAACAAGCCCTCATCACTGCTCCTGTCCTTGCAGTCCCTGATTTCAGTAAACCATTTGTAGTTGAAACTGATGCATCTGACCATGGAATTGGAGCTATATTACAGCAGGATGGTCATCCCATTGCCTTTGTAAGAAAGGCTTTGGGTCCCAGAACTCAAGGACTTTCCACTTATGAAAAAGAAAGCCTGGCTATATTGTTAGCTGTGGAGCAATGGAAGGCTTATTTGCAACCTGCTGAGTTCATAATTCATACAGACCAGAGAAGTCTCATTCACCTTGCAGATCAACAGCTCCATTCCTATTGACAGCAGAAAGCTATGACTAAATTAATGGGCTATCAATATAAGATCTGCTACAAGAAGGGCAAAACTAATTGTGCTGCAGATGCTTTGTCTCGAGCTACTCATTCCTCTGGCATTCTCAATGCTCTTTCTGTTGCCTTACCTACTTGGTTGGAAACATTGCAGCACGCCTACACAGACAGTCCTCAAGCTCAGCAACTCTTGACTGCCTTGTCCTTGCAGAATACTCATGGTCATTATACTTTGGATCAGGGTAGTGTTTTCCTAAACGCTAAACGGTAAACAGTCGGTCACCTACCGTTTAGCCATTATTCGGGCAAAACGTCCCATTAAACGGGCTAAACGGCAAATTAAACGGGGTAAACGGGTGATTAAACGGAAACGACGCACCACCGTGTAGCGTTTACACGGTGTTTAAACGGGCTAAACGGCCGTTTAGGCGAACAGTGGATCAGGGTATCATCAGGTACAAACAGGTAGTGTGGTTAGGCCACTCTACTTCATTTCAGGACAGAGTTACTGAACAACTTCATTCCAGCCCCATTGGTGGACACTCAGGTTTCCTGGTCACCTATCATAGGATTAGAAAGTTGTTTTACTGGCCTCACATGAAGGATTCCATAAAGTCCTTTGTCAATGCCTGTTCTGTATGCCAACAGGCCAAATCTGAGCATGTTCCTTATCCTGGTCTATTACAGCCTCTGTCTGTTCCTGATCAGGCCTGGAAAGTGGTCACCATGGACTTTATAGAAGGTCTACCAAATTCTGCTCAATTTAATTGCATTTCGGTGGTAGTTGATAAATTTTCAAAGTATGCTCACTTCATCAAACTGAAGCATCCTTTCTCAGCCCTTCAAGTGGCCAAAATTTACATGGAGCAAGTCTATAAGTTACATGGTATGCCTATGGTCATTGTTTCTGACCGAGACAAAATATTTACTAGCACTTTATGGAAGGAGCTGTTTTCTCTGTCTGGCACTGATTTGAGCATGAGTTCAGCCTACCATCCACAGAGTGATGGCCAAACCGAGCGAGTCAAACAATGCATTGAAGCATTTCTTCGCTGTTTCATTCACTCCTGCCCCAGTCAGTGGTCTCATTGGTTGCATTTAGCTGAATACTGGTATAACACCTGCTACCACTCATCCTTGCAGCATACCCCGTTTGAGGTACTTTATGGTCACTCCCCAAGGCATTTTGGTATCGATCCTGATCAAGACTGCATTGTGCCTGAGCTGGATAAATGGCTCCTTCAACGCCAAACTGTCAATGAATTGCTTCATCAGCAGCTCCTGCGTGCTCAGCAACGACAGAAGAACCAAGCTGACAAGCATCGTACAGAACGTCAGTTTGAGGTTGGTGACAAGGTTTGGCTGAAACTCCAACCCTATGCTCAAGCCTCTGTGACTTCCAGAACCTGTCATATGCTCTCTTATCGCTACTTTGGGCCCTATGAAGTGGAAGCAAAGGTTGGTACTGTTGCTTATAAACTCAAATTGCCGCCCCAGTCCAGCATTCATCCGGTGTTCCATGTTTCTCTTCTGAAAAAGGTAACACTGTCTCATTTTCACCTTTGGCTCTAGACACTTCGTCTAAGCAGACACCAGAACTTGCACTGGATCGTCGGCTTTGCACCAAATCCCGCCGCACCTACTATCAACTGTTGATCAAGTGGTCTGGTTGGCCACCGGAGTTGGCTACTTGGGAAGACGAAGACGAAGTGATCCGTCTGTTCCCTGATTTCACGGCTTGGGGACAAGCCGTTGCCAATGAAGGGGGAGATGTCACAGTACGAGTCAAAGCCCCCGAAGGAAGCACTAAGACCAAAAGGCCCAGGAAGCCCAACACTCGAGTCATTGGCCCAGACTGGAAAGCGTAGAACGATCCAAGCCCAGCTGCGTCTGGAGTATGCTGTCGAACAACTGTAACCGAGGGAGTATAACAGAAAGGGGAGAGGAAAACTTGAACTCGTCTTGGTTGGCGTCGGCATAGGCGGCGAGCTGCGGCTTGAGATCGCCGGCGACTTCCGATTCCACCATTGCTGTAACAGATTCCACCTATACAGTTCTAAATCGATATCGCTACACTACCATACTATCTAGTGTTGTTACAGAAACTACCTCAAATTTTATAAAGCTATAAGAAAAGCCTATCCAGACATTCAAATTATTTCAAACTGCGATGGCTCATCTCAGCCACTTCACCATCCTGCAGATCTGTATGATGTCCATGTAAGCTTTACTGCTTCTGATTCTGTCGTGTCCCCCCAGTTTTTTTTTTCTTCTGACTTTATAACAGAGTTTTCTTACTGTAATTTTATCGACAGTTTTAAAAATATCACCTTTTTTTTTTTTTTGCAGATTTACAGTAATGCTTCTTATGTTTTCCAAATGAAAAGTATGTTTGACAGGACATCACGTAAAGGGCCTAAGGTATGTATCTTCTTCTCTTTATGGTTTATATATGAAGTTTGGTAATAGATGCCATTAAATGTTCTCTAGAGTATTTCCTTTCTTGGATCAAGATTCTTTGATTCTTTATAAGATAATCGTTTTCCATCATGTTCTGTAATTGACACATCTTTGTTTATTGAAATGAATTAGACGTATTGTTGCACTTATCATGTAGACAGATGCAGTTTCCCACGAATGATGACACCATTTTTTGTGCAGATGAGTTTAACTATCAAGTAGTATAAACTCTGTTTATATCAGGACTCAAAAGGCACCGTTCGACATAGTTCTTTTTCTTATTCGGGTCATCAGATTTAGTGAGTAAATTGACTATGATATGTTCACATTTCAGGTGTTTGTCAGTGAATATGCAGTTAACGAACTAAAGGATGCTGGTAACGGAAGCCTCCTTGCTTCACTGGCAGAGGCTGCATTCCTCATAGGAGTAGAAAAGAACAGGTGACCTAATAATGTCCAGAGATTACAAGAGGAGCTATATTTAAATATCCTTATAGATACTGACAGTGGTAGAAATAATTTCTTCTTGTGGGTTAATGAGAGGGCTCTGTGTGATGCTTCTTTGCAGTGACATCGTCCAGATGGCATCTTATGCGCCGCTCTTCGTCAATAACAACCAACCTGGGTTAGAATTGGTGAATGCTGAGCTTCACGCTTTTGTTCGCCCTAGCCTTCTTGATTTTGGAGGAAAGTGCAGTGATTATGTCTGAAACTTTTTTTATCAGCTGGAAATGGATCCCAGACGCGATAGTCTTCAACTCGTGGCAACAGTACGGAACTCCGAGTTACTGGATGCAGACATTTTTCTGTGAATCAAGTGGTGCTGAGTTTCATCCAGTTAAAATCACATCCAGATACTCCGATTCATTGGCAGCATCAGCAATTACCTGGAGGGACACTGACATTAGCTTCCTGAGGGTAAAGGTAAAACCAACAGATCCTTCTCCCTGTTTTTTTTGAGGAAACTATCCTTCTCCCTGTAGCCTGTGTGTGGTTGCTTCAACTCATTTTACAACCACTGTAATATCAGAACTTTGAAATGACCAAATCCCTGTAATATTACTGTGTTTGCAGATCGTAAACTTTGGACCTCATGCTGTGAACCTGACAATACGTGCACATCAACTTCGAGCTGCTGTCGATGCAAGGGGATCAAGAGTCACTGTTCTGACGTCCAGCGATGTGAAGCATGAAAACTCGTTCAGAAACCCACATAATGTAAGAGGATGGCTTCTGTTCACAAGCTTTTTTCCTATTGCTACCATTTTTACACAAGCTCTGAATCTGTCAACTGAAATATGGCATGTCAATGCGCATTTTTCTGATCTTTGAACTGCACACCTACACTCTGGCATGTCCTTTGGCGATGTCTTGAATCAATTTGCAGGAATTGGTCATGTACATGTAATAACGCACAATTCTCATGTTGCAGCAGGCTCATCTAACTTTGAACTTGCAAAAATATGCAGGTGGTGCCGGTTACCAGAGGGTTGCCTAATGCAGGAGAAGGCCTTGCTCGCTCCTTGCTCGTTTACTTCATTCGACTTAGCTCTGGAGGAGTACGGACGTGTGGCAGAGATGTGAAGTAATATTATAGAACAAAGTTTACAAAATACTTGTCTAAATGAAGTGTAATCGTACAAACTAGGGGAGCGATATGTGTTCTGTATCTGCCTATCAGGGCTCATGCTATCCTTCTGAGACTGAAACGATTCTGCAGATGAATAAGTGTTAATGGTGGTAGGATGGTTTCTTTTTCTTTTACTCAGGTTTTGCCTGAGCAAATTGAATTCTAGTTTCTCAAGGCTATCAAACTTAAATGAATCTGTAGACGTTGTAACTGAATCTGCAGTTATGCTTTAGTTGTCTGCATAGGTGATTGGACTGCTGGGTCTTTTAGGCTGCACGGTGAATCCATATGTGATGCAAGTGCAAGATTTCTGCTTGGGGACGTCAGATGTGGCTCGCCAGAACCAGCTCAAGCACTTGAGAAACTCCCATTGCTAGAATTTTGCCACAAACGCCCAAGATAACTTATGCACACACTCCAGACGCAGACATTGCAAATACTATCCGCGTATGGACAAAAGAAAAACTGGAAAAATCAACATAAGTGTACATACAGATCAAATCAAATACATCTGGAGATGAATGCATCCAATAGGCATCATTTCTCAAGTCACAGTGTTTACATACATGGGATGCACTTCATGCTTTGCTTTTCTCCTAGGCGCACTGAAACGTCAGCCTTCCAAGGCACCAACAATAATTGAAACATCCAGTCCTGAAGCAGTGAGGTGCTACACTAGACAATGAAAGAAAACTAAATTTAGATTGTCTACAGCAGGCAACACAAATATCAAATCAGAGGTAACTGAAAGATTCAGTCTGCTGGAGGAAACTTACATTGGAGTCAATGAGAACGAAGTATCAGTGGATATGTACAGCACCAACCACTACTCCAACACTGCATGTGCAGTCAGAACCACATGTGTGAACAAAAAGTAGGAAGCTAAAAGGATGTCATTGTATTAGAACTATATGTGCAGGATTCCAAGATATCTTACCACAGAAAGCAATGGTCCTTGCTTAAATTTGCTATGAAAAGCAAAAGCGAGTGGCTTTGCTCCTTCTCCAGGTCCCCGAATGAATCCACTAGATATGAAGACAGGAATTTCAACAAATTAATGATTAAGGAATGTCACTGGAACACAGTTTTACTGTAAAAAAATGGTCATAGTAAATCAGAAGATTCTGTTCTTACACTAGTGATAGTGAGATAAGTGGAGATCTCCGCACATCATATACAGCAATCAGGCCACGGTACATTTCATTTCCATCTTTGAACGACAATGCCAGACGTTCCCCTGAAGCATCCCATGCTAATTTCTCTATGCCTCGGCTATATGAAGTAGTTAAAGCATAAATTAGTGAATGGAAGTAACATTTTAGGCTGTTATAATGGATGAACTTCCTAAATACAAAGTTTATACTAAATGAAATAATGCAGGGCTTGTTGGCAAATAGCCGTTTCTGAGACAAAATTTTATGAAAACTAAATGTTTTTTGGCTTCTGTTGTTTGATGTGAGCTTTCTTTCATTAGTCCTTACAATCCTACAAACATATGGTCCTATGTTTTATAAATAAATAATGACTTCTGAGCTGATTCCCTTCACAAAAGTTACATCAGAAATAAATTACTCATTAATTGTGAATGGGGTTAATTGAAAAATCAACAGCCAAAATTAGCATACAAGAGGAGGAAAAAATTATGTAGTATAAAGTGCGCATGAGATCAAATGTCACAGTAATGCCTCTGTTGTTACCTAACAATCAGGGAGGAAATTTCTGGAAGTTCAACTGGTAGGAGGTGGGCATCTGAAGATAAAAAGCATAAAACAAACTATCAGACAACAAATATAACAAGCTTTAGCAACATAATATTTGGATGGTTGCCCTTATATACCTAAGGATGGTGGCTTAGATGAGAAGTGAATTGAGCCAAGTATCGTCGAGTTAGAAAAGGATAACAATGCGACACGACCTTCTGGGTCCCAATTTGCCCCCTGACAGGAACCCAATAAAAATAAGCAAAAATGAGAAGAATTTTAGGATTATCCAATATATGGTTTGCTGCAGAACCCAATTTGCTCCCTGACAGGAACCCAATGACTTATACAGGGCCAGTGGACACATTAGGTGTGCTGTGGCCAAACACAGTATCGTGCTCACTGTTTGAGAAAAAAAGAGAGTATTGTGCTCACTTCTTCACTAAAGAGTATTGTGCAATTGTGCTCCAGCGTAAAGACAATAACAGAAATATAGAATTGCAATGCAAAAAAAAATGATGTCATATTTTCCAAAAGCAGGTATTTGTGACTGAATAGTGAAGATATTACTTACAGACACATATCCGTTAGACGAAGACCAGGGTTCTGAAGTCCATGTGTTCGTCTCCCAGAAGTGAAATGTACCATCACTAGCAATAAATGAATTTTGTAAATCTTTGGAAATATCATTGACAAGAAATGAAAATGAAAATTCAAAATTGACTATACAATTTAGCAGCTAGAAGGTAATCTCCACTGGGTGACCACCGCACTAATGATATATTGCTTAATCCACGCCGTATAGGAGTTCCCAACCCTGAAGCAAAAGAAAGGTGTCAAGATTATTGTCAACAATTCTGTACAAATGGGATTAACTGCCTGTATTGAGAAAAAAGACCGGTACATGTACCTTGAGACACATCCCAAATTGTGAAAGATGGACTATTGCATGAGGCAGATGCCAAGTATGTGGAGAATAGTCAAGGAAAAAAATGCCTTCAGCTGTTGGTATTTCCAACAAATAATGACTAAACCTACTGTAAACATTCCTGTATGTATGGTGCTGTAAATTTGGCAAAAAAAAAAGGGGACCTTTTGCAGTTAGCCACACTGTATTTTAGTTATTTTACAGTTTAAAAACAAGAGATACGGTGACAAGCCAGGGCTAAAGACCTCTAAACTCTTTTCTATGGCCTCCTGCCTCAGTTATGAGGTCGGTTTCCATTTGTTCCAATGGCATGCCTGTGTTGTGCATAATGGGTTTGGGTGTTTGCGCTGTGTCGAGTGAGTGGTGTTGTACATTTGGGTTCTCTTTCTTGTTAATGAAATGATACACGGGTCTCTTGTAAGTTCAAGAAAAAAAAGAGAGATGAAAAGCAGCAGCAACATTCACCCGATGCTACTATGAAAACTTATAAGGATATCTCCCATCAGGTTTCCAACAAAGTGCACTAACGAGCTCAGCAGAAGAGCCACGAAGAACATCCACCAGTATCCACTGACCACCAGAACCTCTAGGAAATGCACTAGAGGAAGAAGAGGTGATGCCAGGTTTCATGAACGGAACATTGCCAGGATATGATGCCGACCAGAGGCATATCCCTCCCCTGAAAAGAAAATGATGAACTCAATCTAAAAGTAAAGTATGCCATCAAATTATTCAGAGACAACAAGGGTTGAATCAAGTTAAATGGAGAGGTGGTAGTAGTACACACTTGCAGGCAACTGCAATCATCTTCCCGCTATTTGGTCTCCACTCAACAGCCTTAACATCCGTTTGATGGTCACTTGTTAAAATGCATGGTTCTTTAGCATCTGTTAAAGAGATCAGCCATTGTTATGTGGTGCGACTAAGTTGATGGATAGGGTTCAGTTCATAAACTAATAAAACAAAGCAAAGTATGCACTAGGCTGATCTTACCTGAATCTTCAAAGTCTTGGACAGTAACCTGGTTCTTCCCAGACACAAATGCTAAGCAATGCTTGTATGGATTCCAACTTACTTTCTGGGTGTCAAATTCTTCTAGCAGATTTGGCTGGTAAACAAGAATGATCGAATTTGAATAGGATTGTGATGATTTTGTAAAGAAGTCATACAGAAAAAAAATAATTAGTTGAATAAGCAGAAAGCAAATCTAGGGTGTTTATCACAAGAATAATAGCTGGAGGATACAATTTTTTAGAAACTATGCTGGAGGAATCAGTAACTGGAGTTTTGATACAACATCAACCTTCAAGTTATGTTGAGCTATGTATTTGCAATCTTAGTAACATTGTTACCTTTTGATTCATGAAATAAGTACTCTTACTATATGTTCAAGCAACTCAAGATAGATCAGATCATGAAGGCACACTGTGGCACTAGGCATGTGAGAATAGACAATGCATTTGCCTCTGGGCAGGGAGTTTACTTACATGCCAATGTATTGGTATGTATCTATACACATCGGCAATTCACAAAAGATATGATAAAATTCTGTATTTTTCTTATCTACACACATGCAAGTGGTTTAGGTATGCGGGTATTTTCTGGGGCAAATTTGAGGAACATCAAACTGTAGTAACTCAGATAGGACAATCCAATGTGAACAGCATTGTAGTAACTAAAATTCTTCAAGCATATTTGGCTGGAAACCAGAATGATCGAATGTGAGTATCATTGTAATGATTTACTGAAAAAAATTCACATCGAGGACAAGTAATTCTGATAGGACGATCCAACTCACGTCTAGTGGAGGGAAGACCATCCGCCTGAAGAACTCGGATATGGTGGCCGCCAAACCAGGGGCGGGGGCAGTCTCAGCAGGCTCGACTTGGTCCGCGGCAGGAGCAGCAGGCTCACGGCTGGGTAGAAGAGCCTCCGGCTGGAACGGAATCGGGGCGAACACCATCCCCTGCAACGACGGCCAACAAGCCCCAAATTTGAGGTCCTCATCAGGCAGGCAAGTTCACAGATGAAGAGTAAGTGCGAGGAGTTGAGGGGAGCGGACTGACCAGGACATCCCCGTAGGCGTCCTTGGCGCGGGCGTCGGAGAGGGCATCCGCCGCAACTGCGAGAGGGCCAGGGGAAGGCGGATCGAATCAAACGAGCGGGCGGAAATGCTAGATAAAGGGGGAGCGGATTTGCTGGGAGCTTACCGAGGTCGCGGTTGATCTCGCAGATGGTGACGGCGCCCGGCGGTGGGAAGCTCGGCATCGCAGCTTGCTAGCTAGCTAGGGTTAGGAGATAGATTCGAGGTTCCTGGTTCCCGGTCCCAGCCCGGAATGAGGGGATTGAGCTCGAGAAGTAGACGAGGAGGCAGTCTGGGAAAGCGGCGGCGGGAGGAACCGAGCGGGGAGAGAGCGGCGGCGCGACGGTGGGCTGCCGGCGAGGCTGCGGCTTAAACGCTTTTCCAGCAGAAGAGGCCGGGAGGCGAAGGGGAGGTATAATGGACGGATACGATGGCTGCTCGCTGATGGGTCCAACGGCTGGGAAGGAGCCCGCCCCCGTTTGGTTTCATTTCAGAATTCAGATGCTCCTCTCGTTTCTACCTGTGTCTGTTCGCTCCCCTCTGCACCTCAACGCCCACCCAGCCCGCCGCCGAGCCCCTCCTGCCCTGAGGCTAGCTGGTCACCTTCAAGCCTGCCAACGCCCACCGTCATCCTCCTCCGCCGCCATCTTGAGCTCCACTTCACTCTCCGGGAATAATTGCCTCCTGATCGTCGATTTTTGTCTGTCACCCTGGTTCTGCCCGGGCGTTGTTCGATGAAATGCCTACAGTCAACCACGGTAATAACTCCCTCCAGGTTTCCCCTCTTTTTCTTGTTTTTTTGTGCTGCAGTTCTGTACCTTATTTTTCATCTACTTCCCCTGACTATGACCACTCTTGAAATTTTCGAATTTCCTATGAGTTCCACGTCCATGTCTCTGCTCCGCCATGGACATGGTGCCGCCGGTCCTGCCTAATGCCTTCTTTTCTCTTCCTCATTCACTGAACCTTATGAAGTCATGTAAAAATATAATCCCACGTGCATTTATGCGAACTTGGTGCTTTCCATTAGATTGTCTACTAAACTAACTCCACGTTCAATCTCCTTCCTTCTTGCAGTTACAGCTCCAGCAAGTCGCCATTGCTCTAGAGTCTAGAGATGCACATGTGGTTCTCGGTGCAGTTTCATATCTTCTAGGATTGGACCATTAATTAATACCAATGGCATCGATCATATCTGGAGCAAGAAGCCTTCACGCACTCTCTCTGCGATTGTGGGCGTTGGGCGAGACGTTTCAGCATGGTCCTTTTAACCGTAGCATGCAGCGGAGGTGGAAAAAGCCTGTAGATTCGGCAAGAACACGTCTCGAGGGAAGAACAAGGGATCATAGGCTGGACAAGCTAATGGTTCAGCTGAGGAACTTGAGACTGGCCTTGGCTTTGAACGAGGTGATATCTCAGCAGAGGAACGGATATGCGTCGCTCCAGCTTCTCTCAAAGTGGAGACATGAGGTCGGGTTGAACATTGAGATTGGTGCTTTCCTGAAGAAATATCCCCACATTTTTCAGATTTATGTGCACCCTGTCAAGAAAAACCACTGCTGCAAGATCACACAGAAGATGTCCGACTTGATTGCAGAGGAAGATGCTGTCATCAGGGAGAATGAGGTCGACATAGTTCAGCGGCTGAAGAAACTTCTCATGCTCTCTGTGAATGGGACTCTGAATATGCACGCACTATGGCTCATAAGAAGGGAACTTGGGCTTCCTGATGATTACAGGTCCTCTATACTGCCGAACCATCAACATGACTTACATCTTGAATCCCCAGATACTCTGTCACTTGTCTCTAGGGATGAAGCATTAGCTGTAGCTAAGGTTGAAGAATGGAGGAAAAGGGAGTACATAGAAAAATGGCTAGCTGAATCAGAGACAAAATACACTTTCCCAATCAACTTCCCAACTGGATTTAAGATTGAGAAAGGTTTCAGGGAAAAACTCAAGAACTGGCAGAGGCTTCCCTACACCAAGCCTTATGAGAAGAATGATTCACATCCGATCCACAACGTGGAGCGGCTTGAGAAACACATTGTTGGTATTCTTCATGAACTTTTAAGCCTGACGGTCGAAAAGATGATGCCACTCGAGAGATTGTCACACTTCAGAAGAGTGTACGCTATGGAGGTAAACCTGCGAGAATTTTTTCTTAGGTATCCAGGCATTTTCTACATCTCAACGAAAGGAAGCGCACAGACAGTCATACTAAGGGAGAGTTACAGTAAAGGATGTCTGATTGAGCCTAACCCTGTATACATTGTGCGAAGGAAAATGTTAGATCTGATACTGTCTGGATGTAGTAACATTGGTGAATGTCAACAGGATAGTGCAACTTGGTCTACTGAGGAGTGTGATCTGGGAAGCAGTCATGGGTGCCAGGATAATATATGCCAGGTGGATTCTGCGGATTCCATACTGGAACATGGAATTAGAAATGACCCATATGGAAAGAACCAATTAACTGAGTTCCCCCACAGACCTTGATGTAATTAATTGTATCAAAAGAAAAAAGCAGAATAAGCAGTCTTTAAATCTAGGGAAATTTTGCTCAGAGACACTGCACAAACGTGCAATTTGCTGTTGAACACCGCCAACTCAAAAATTGGCCCAGTACCATTATGAAATTGAGATTCTTTGCTGAACACACTGCGGCCATTATTTTATTCATTTCTCGTAATTGTGGAGAGAGAAGGTGGAAGAAATAACATTTTTGCCCTCGTCTTCAACCTCCGGCTGTTACCGTTCGCACCCTTTCTTCTCCAGCGAGGTCTTCCATGACCGGCAATTTCGTTCTTCGTTTTCCCAGCCTGGCAGCTGTAACACCCCGGTGTTATGCCTGCATTTAGGCACTGCAAATCACGCATATCATGCATCATCAAGCATCCAAATCATACATGCTTAATCATGTGAATAACAATTGAAACATCGCCTTGAAACATGTGAAACATGATTATGAAACAAGAGTATCATTTCAAGTGTTTTTCATCATTTCAGTACCTTTAGTGCTTGATTATTGTATGACCAATGTGTGGTATAGCTAAATATATTGTTAAACATCTTAGCTATGCTTAGAAAGTCATTAGGAACAATGTTCATGTTGATCATTTTGCCCAATTAAGATTTCAAATCATGGTTTGACTTGTTTTGACCCTAGGATTTTTTGGTTTGACTGTTCAAAAAGTACCACTTAGAATGTTTGCATGTCTGAGCAACCTAAAACAAAGTTGTAGCAAATTATATGAGGAACAAAAAGTATTTTGTGACCAAGTCATGAAAATGTGCACAACATGCTCAAAATGGTCCCACAAGCCAGAATTTGGGTTGGTTTCAACACTTAGAAATTTTCTAAGTACAAAACTCCATTTTTCAGTTTCATGAACACGACTTTGGCATGAATTTACTCTCTGTCCTTTGCGAATTAGCTTAGGATTTCTATAGGACAATTGTAGCCCTATTGTAGATCTACAACTTTGCTTCAAGGAGAAATTGCTAACTCGCCACCGTTTTGGAGTTTGGAAGCAACGAAAATGCGCTGTCAGTCGGTCTCGGCGGTCTCTGATGGACGGTTCAGGCCGGCCAGCTGGCCGACATCGTCAGGCCGCGGCGGCCAAGTGGTGGCCGTACGCCGTCGCTGCCCCCACCGGTCAGGCCATCGCCGCCACGAAGACGCCACGCGCCCCGCAGCTGGCTTATTTGTTTCGCCCGTGTCCCTTCGCCTCGTCAGTCCACTCCGAGCCGAGCGCGCGCCTCCGCCATTACCGCTGTGAGCTCCGACGAGCTCCCATGTAAGCACCACCGTACCTCGCCTCGCTCCGTCACTTACGCAGCTCCGTTGAGACCTCCACTAGCTCCTCGCCACCTCTGCGCAGTCCACCGACCTCAGGTGAGGCCGTTTTCGGTGTTTCCGCGCCGTCGCAACCTCGCCGGAGTTGGGGTGCTCCGTGGCCAGCCCCACCTGGAGTACCTCATCCCCTCCGCTCTCTCCCTTCTCGTTCCCCAGTATGCCCTAGTGCTTGATTCAAGCCTAGCCTGGCCTCTGCATGCCGGAGATGGCCGGCGCACCGACGGGCTCCTCCACCGTGCCGCCATGTGCGTCGGCGGGCTACCTCCGATGGCTCCACTCTCCCATCACCTACCTCAATCATTGTGCATTGTTGAGTAGGGCACGCCGGTGACCTCGGCCTCGCCGGAATGCTCGTCGCCGGCGAGATAGCGCCGAGCCGCGTAGCGCAGAGCCGCCTCCCCTGTTCTGTGTCGCTGTCACGCGGGCCCGTCTGGCATGCGGGGCCCAGCTGCAGCGACCGAGGGAAACCCCGGGTGCACAGCACTGGGTGCACCCAACGTTTGCATTCGCTGGTTTTTCGTTTTAAGGAAAAGGGTTTTAGAAATGGTTTCAAAAATTGATTCAAATGCTTAGTAAATGTATATCTTAATTTGTGTTGCTCCAAAATGTATGAAACAAATTTTGTTATGCTTCTTGTGACTAGATCTATCTGTTAAAAATACTGCATGTCAAGTTTGTGATACTTTTATGTGTAGCTTTATTTAAAGTAAATAAATGCTGATTTCTGAGAAAATGTCTAGTAAATAGAATATACCTCAGAAAAATATGGTTCCAGTTTTGTTAGTTTCCTTGAGTGATTTACTTTCTGTGAAAAATATATTCCATGCATGTCTTGTAGAAAAATTAGGAGGTGTAGTTCAAGTGCCTTTAATGGCTGACTTTTGTTATTTTTGCTAAAGAGCCAAAGTTGCATAAAACATGCATATGATAATTTTTGTACAGTGATTATATGCTATAAAGAACATAGGAAAAATACTCAATCTGTTGTTTGACACTTTTCATAGTACAAAGTAATTTCATGCTCATTTTTATGCTATAGCTTGTCATTTTTGTGTAGGATAGTTTACTTATCCAAATGCCATGAAATTTTTATGGTAGTCTGTTTAGGGTAGTATTATGCTACTGTAATTTTCTCAGATTTTTATAAGCATCAGAAATATAGATTGCTGTTGTAGCCCTAATTTAAAAGGAAATAAAATAATCATCTTTAATACAAGATTAGTTAATAATAATATCTTTGGTGTATCTTTGAGGCATTTCATAAGATATGTTGACTTAACATATTAGTAGTAGAAGAGAATACAGTAGATGACATGTGCTTGTAGTATAGTTTCTTGGATGATGTTGACTACCTTGCATTTAAACATATCCATTGCATTCATCTCCTTCGATACACCGTTTGCATAATCACTTACACGCATTGCATCATACAGGATCGCAAACCGAGAACCCAGTCGTCATACCCGAGGAGCCCGAGGAGCAGCTCGAGGTGCAGCAGCAGGAAGTGCCAGAAGCCGACGAGGAGGACGTTGAGGAACTTCCGGAGTGCCCCGATCACCGTCCGAGCTCCTTCGAGAGAGGCAAGCCCCGGAGCATTTTTCTCCTGGTTTGCAATGATTTAATTAAATGCTTTACTTAATTGATGCATTACGTTCAGGAGTTAATTGCAACCGTTGCTGCATTATACCTTGTCTACCTTTGTTATACTGTATCCTTGTTACCCTGGTATCCGCAGTCGAGTCAATGCTTAGCTGGCTTAGACCGGTAGAAGTCAGGTGATTTCCTGTCACCTGCGAGCTATAGGTGGTTACCTGGATCTACTTGGATGACTATGAAGTCATGGTATAACTAAGTGTGAAATGAAGTTGAGACCAGACGGAGACTTGCAGAGTTTTGGACTGTAGTGTTTCCGTCTGTGTCGATTAAGGACCGACCGTTGTTGGGCCTCGAGTCATGTTGAACGTATGCCTTACATTTAGCTGGCCGGATAAAGTACCTTCCGACCGCAAAGCTGGGAGATTTTTCGGGCCGAGTAGATTGCCCGCAACGCACTGTGCCGGAGCAGGTGTGGTAGGACACGGGGGCGGGATGATAAGACCAAAGTGCAGTCGGTCGGCCCCCGGGTACATGTGGTTCCTGGCAAACTCGAGATTCCTGGAAAGTTGACTCGGTGATCAATATCTCACTTTAGCGGGTGAGTGAGGTTTGTGTAAGGAACAAATCACCAGCTGGTTAGGAAACGATTCGAATCGCCATCGCTCCTGGATAGTGAGCACTTGACTTGAGTTACTTCATCGTAGTAAATGTTATGGAACACTTGGACAGTTATAATGAATATGACAGTATGGAAGTTGTTTAATGATCATTGGTTATCATTATCTGCTTAATCACTTGTTTACTCTAGTATATGTGCAAATCTAGTCGACAGGTTAATAATAATTAACTTGGCAATAATGCTTTTTGAAAAGTTCTTGAAATGCTAAAAATGCTTCTTTCTGCAAATGAGTTAGCTACCCTACTATAAAGCCCTTCATAATCCTTGGTGTCATTTATTTTCGGTTATGTCGGGTAAGTCTAGCTGAGTACCTTCTCGTACTCAGGGTTTTATTCCCACTTGTTGCGAGATGGGCGAGATGTATTACGACTCTTGTATCAACCGCTGCTGTATCCCCGCGATGGGTGATGCTTAGGACCATGGGCATGGTCATTCCTTACGTCTCGTCTCGATGCTTTTGTTGGAGATGATCATTCATTGCACTATATTTAAACTCCGCGTGAGTGTGTGTGGTTTGAAGAAATGGCTTCCGCTACTTTTCTTCTTGAATGGTTTTGTAATAACTATGTTGAAACTCTGATGTATCTGAGGTTGTGAACTTTTATGTAATATGTGATGGTGACCGCTAAACTTATTACGATCTTGGCTGGAATGGAAGTTAGTTTGAAATCCTTCGTGATTTCACGGACTACCGGGTTATCTGAACTTAAGTTTGCTAAATCGTCCGCTTCTCTGGTGATGATTTTCTTACTTAATTTCGTATAATCGGTCGGTTTCATATTCTGGCAATGCCATTGTTTCTGCGCCTGAGAACAGCAGCCACGCCACCTCGGCCCTCTCCCTCGTCATGGTGGCACGCAGCCCACGCCGCCTTTGCCCAGCGCATGATGGGAGCAATGCCCGGCGCTCCCTACAAATACCCATACCGCGACTCCCTGCCCCGGCTCGCCCGCCCTCCGTCGCCAAGCCGATTACTGCCGCTCAAGGCTGCGCGCCTAGCCGCCACACACCGCCGCCGCGATTCTGTTGCCGGCCATGACTGAACCGCCCATGGGTCCGCCATCTGAGAGCCGGGCGAGGTCGACGTCGCGGCACATGAGCAGGAGCTTCCTCCCGTCGCCGAGCGGGGTCGGGGACGACGCTAGCACGGCCCACGCCGACTCGTCCATGGGCCAAGCGTCCTCGAACACGAGCAGCGACGGCCCCCGCCCTGCTGCGGCCGCGAACCGCGGCTCGGCGAGGATGCGGCCCACGCCGGCGAGGTACTCCGGCCCGCCGCTCTCCCACAGGTACTGCATCGGCAGGCCTCCCGCACGCACCACGTCGGGTGTCTCGAACCACTCGATGCGCGCGAAGTGACCACCGGAGCCGCCCCTTCATGGATCGGAGACGAGTGACGCCTCCCTGTGGTTTAGCGTCGTCGCCGTGGGCTCCTACCGCCGGTCGGTGAGCCCAGCCGCCCCTATCCCCCATCCATGGCCAGAGCGTGCCCCGCCCCCTGTGCAAGTGGCCATCCATGGCCGCCCATCTGAAGGTGGAAGACGACCACAGTGAACAGCTATAGGTTGAAGAAGGGCAAAAATGTCATTTTTCTCACCACCTCTCTCCGCGAATACAAGAAATGAATAAAATAATGGCCGCAGTGTGTTACAGCAAAGAATCTCAATTTCATAATGGTACTGGGCCAATTTTCGAGTTGGCGGTGTTCAACAGCAAATTACACGTTTGTGCAGTGTCTCTGAGCAAAATTTCCCTTAAATCTACTAGTGGCTTTGTGATCCACCAATTGCAATCCATTGGAGGTACTTTGATTCATTCGAAGCATCTGCAGTGGCAAGACACTGATGATTTGAAAGCTTCTCTTGAATAAAGGCAAAAACAAACAGATTTCCCCTGTTGGACGATAAGTAAAATAGGGTGGAACAACTTGAATACTGACAATACGAAACAACTTGAATACTGACACGCTTTTGCATAAAATTTTGTGGATATATGGTTTAAGACTTGTGTTGGGCACAAATCTTGTAACCAAATCAACGGAGACAAAAAGAAAATTGACTGATATTATATTCTAGACTTTTTCAAGCAACTAACGGTGGCAACGATATGCACTAACTGATATTCTAGACGTTTTCAAGGAAACTAACAGTAGTAACGATATGCACGATAAGCAAAATAGGATGGAACAGAACATAAATATGTGCTTATGTATTGTATCCCTGGATGGAGGATTATATAGGGGTGGCCGTGTAAGGATTATATAGGGGTGGCCGTTGATCGTCACCGATACAGTACGGTGTACGGTAAATAAATGAATTTTTACTAAGTGACGTGACAGAGCATATGTAGATTGAGGGTATCTAGATGCAGAAGAAAGTATGCAGGGAGAATGTGTCCCTAAGCGCATGTGCTCCCACCAAGGTGCATGGGTGGGAGCACATGTCCTTAGGGAAAAAAATAGCCTCTACAGCGAAGACTGGCCATCTCACATAGAGCTGCCACAGTACGTGTCTCCAGCTATGACCAGCAACTTGGTCGACTAGCTCAAGCAGGTGAATCTGCCGACCTTGACGATCTAGATGAGGCCGGAGAAGGATAGGAGGCAGAAGAAGAAGGCGACGAGGAGGAGGTAGCGGCAGCATCTGGCGCTCAACGTTGTCAGCTGGTCCAGGCTCTAAGCGGAGCCGAGGATCAGCATGGCGATGGAGACACTGGACGCCTGGATGGTGCTGGAGGTGACCGCCGTGAAGCGGGACATGTAGAGTGCGTTGTAGACGGTGGCGCTAGTGGTGCACGAGTCTGGCAGGACGAACGCTGCTGCAGGTAGCTAATGCCGACCGCACAGGCAGCGAGGCTCGCAAAGAATGCAGCTAGCCAGAGCACCTGCCTGGACGCAGCGGCGAAACTCGCCGTCGTGGTGGGAGGCTCTGAGCGACGGAACGGACCGGGGGGAGCGCCGTCTCCTTGCCAGCGCTCACGGCAGTGGCGGAATCAACAACTTTCATTAAGAGGGGTCGGACAAATATAATAACACCTTATAAGTGTGATAAGTATATACAAGTGTAAATCTCAATAATTTTTTCTATGTGTTTTACAGATGTAGTTTGTGTTTATAGCAAAAAAATCACAATATATGATAAAATATGAGTAAAAATGAGAAAAATATGCTTTGTATTGCAATATTTATACAAGTATTAAAGCAAATTTCGCTATTAGGGGGGCACGGCCCTGCTGCCCCTTGGTTCTGCCACTGGCTCGCAACCGGCCGGCGCGTCACCACGTCGGGTGCGAGGGAGGGAGGGAGTGAGAGAGTGTGTGTTTCAAAAGGGAGAGGAGAGAAGAGAAGAGAGAACATCCATACACATATACAAGATAGATGGGCCGGACCAATGTCACTCTATTCTTGGCATACATACAACTTACTCCCTCTGTATAAAAAAAAGACAATTCTCATTTTAATAATATCAAATGAATATTAAAAATTAATAGTGAAACATATTTTTATAGTATATCTATTTGAAGTCACGAACAATAATAATATTTCGTTTGAGCTCAGTTAAAATTAAAGAGATTTGACTCGATCTAAACCTACAATTGCATCTTGGTAATACTTATTATTGGTTGCATTGTTGCATTGCTTGCTCATGTGTATATAGCATTGCTAGTTTCAGTACCAAGCCAAAAACAAAAACAGAAGCGGCAGAGTGTCTTTGCTTCTGTCTGTTGGCAGCTGCAACCGCCGGTGCACAGATTCAAGAAACAATACTGAACTCGCCGTGCCTTCAATTACATGAATTCTTTTTGTTTAATTGTTTTTGTTGTGTGCTGGTTTTGCCACATTGTTTACTTTACAGTACCGACTTACAGTTTACACACAAGCAGCAGAAAAGAGGGAGCTCAGTGCAGCGTCCCTGACATGTGGGCCCTCGCCCTCCTCAGCCACTCCCTCCCTCCCACCCCCACCGCTTCTGGCACCATTTTACCTACTTATAATTAACTCAAAGCACAATGGCGTCCTTCCAGTTTTAGTTAACTAGAAGCATACCTCGCGCGTTGCTGCGGAAATTGCGGATTAGTAGATTACATGGTACGATGACGTGGACAACAAAATGATTGTGTTTTACTGACGTAGACATTGCAGTTACATGTGCTAATGTATTTTAATTGTATTTGATAGTTCATTATCTAGTTGGACAGCTAGCATGTTGCATGTTTAGCTTAGTGGATTTTAATTGTATATGATAGTGCATTGTTTAGTTGAACAGTTTGCATGTTGAGATAAATAGCCAGTGTGGTTTTGCTTTATAAGAGTATAAGATAAGATTCTCAAGGACATCCTAATTGCGTGCTTCTTCTCTGCTTCTTGCTTCTTGTTAAGGGACGTTTCACACAAAAGTGGGATTTGGTCACTAAGCCATTGGAGAGAGGGCAAACACTATTATTGTACAAGGAATCAAGGATGATTAGAGTTGTGACACTGGTACGTTCAATTATTCTATTTAACCTCATTTCAGTTTTATTTATATAGTACCAAAACCATATATATTACCTCTCACTCATCCATTGGATCAGCATCGAGTGATCCTAATTGGTAGTTTCGTTAGTTGGTTTGCACCTGAAACGTTGTGATTTTTGTTATCTTATTTTCTCGCAGGTAATGCGAGTGCTTGAAAGATTGTGAGGTTAACCCATCTCTTGCTATACGAATCCTGCGCCAGGCACTCTTGCCTCTCGTTTAGCCACGTGGCCTCATATTCTCCATCATCTTATCTTCATCGAACCGTCAAAAGCAGACACTGCAGCTACAATTTCTAGAGCCTTTGTCCCCAAGCGCGGACATGCTCTTCGTCGCACGCTGCTTCAGCTGCCATCGACACGCCACCGCCCAGGCGCCCCTGCTCCTCCATCACCGCTGCTGCATCCTCCTCCGCTAGGCCACGCTCCTCTCCCGCACATAACGGACCACCGTTCGTCCGCAGCTCGCGGAGCTTGAGATCGATGCGACGGTGGTGCCGAACAAGAGCTCGGTGAGAGGATCCCAGGTCCCTTCGATGCGTGGACCACCGGTGTATTGTATCACTGACTGAAACGCGCCAACGCGTACGCCTTCGACGGCGACGGTGATGCCAGGCTGCTCCACAGCAGCGGCGCTGCACTGATGGAAGGCTAGCGCGAATTTGGGACTGAATCCACCGGAGTACGAAGCTCTACGCCCTCGTCTCCACTCTCCAACAACCCCTCCAGTTTATCATCACGGCATACATCTGCTAGAGGATGCAGCAATGAGGGATGCCCCCAGGGTGTTCGATGAAATGCACGTTTTTGGAGTGCTACGATTTGACTATCCCTTTTTTACTTTACCTGCTTGATGCCATGCAACTTCCTCTCATTCCATAGTGTACTACAATCTCGTTCTTAATTTATGTCTGATTCAATAGGTATGCTTGCCAAATCCACATGCTCATCAGTTATGTTGTGATAAATAATGCACTTGAATGTTCAATCAGGGGGTGTTTGACACGGCTCCTCCTGAGGGGCTCCTCCGGAGGAGCTAGAGCTGTTTTGGAGAAGCTACAATCGAGGGGCTCCTCGGGAGGAGCTAGAACCGTTTTGGACCAAAACAGCTCTGGCTCCTCTACTGTTTTCTGAAAAATGACACTTTTAGAAAAAACGTTTGGCAGGGCTCCTCCGAAGGAGCCGGAGCCGGGGAGGAGCCCTGCCAAACAAGCCCTGGTCTGAATGTATTCTAATTTTTAGAGAAGTTTATTTTAGGTGACATGCTACTTTAGGTTTCTTATCATGCTATACATAATTTTGTGCCATAAAATTTCTTTTCTTTAGTCTTATGTTTATATTTATAAAATTAATGATCATAATGACTCCTATATGACCTCAAAAATACTTATAAATATACTAAGGACTTGGAAAATCTCAGCTAGGACTACAGTTGGATTACTGATATATTTCATTATATTTTCTTGGTTCAATTATGCCAATTATAACATAATTTTATATACTAACATGCGATGTGATGTTTCTTCCATTTGGTGACTCACGGTTGATCTTATCCCTAAAACAACACTGGCATAATCAAATGCATGGCACGGCAAGGCCGCGCCTGTCTTTCTAGTGAATATGAGAAGTGCCATTTCCGAGTTGAATTTTAGCACTATTAAATTACATGTGGCAACATATGCATTTTTGTGGATGCAAATTAAATTTTGGAACCCGCCATGTATTTTGGAAAAACATATAGAAGATGCTAGTCCATCGAGGCCGGCCTGTGCATGACACTAAATTTTACTTGCCGAATTACCCGTGGTACAAAACACCAACATGTATTTGATAGAAGTTACGACCTCTCTCCGTATTAATTGATTTAATTTTCTTTCTTATTGTTTGCATACAAACTCTCTAAAAACATATATTTTTAAGAAAAATGATCCTTTTTTTTTGCGCAAACTTAGAAAAATGATACTAACATCATATCACAACCATATATACACGTATGTGCCCCGCGCGCGCGCGCGCACACACACATATATATATATATATATAAACCTAAAAATTCAGTCTAAGTATTAGGTAGAGTCCAAGTCCTATTGAAGAAGTCATGCCATCCTTTAAGGAGGGTGTAGGATGATTGACTGACTACCTTTTAGTGCTGATCCGACTGACCAATGGAGATTTCACTTGACATCCATAGTTTGCTTGTGAAGGTATATAAAACACAACCTAACTGCTGAAATGAAATGAACTTCCAATGAAAAGAGTATGAAGGCACATAAGGCCGGAAGAAAGCTTTGCGATTTTTTTATGAAATACAATACAGACACAAACACTCATACACACACCTACCCGATTCGCACTATACCCATATGAGGATATCTGAAAGACTTAGCTATCACATCTTAAGATTAATGAGCTTCATCCAAACAATCCAATTCCCCAAATAATAATACAACTATACAAGATTGTACGGGCACCTTGCCATGAAAAATCTGGTGTTTAGTGTTTATGATCCGAAAACACGTTTTTATGAATGTCTTACAGTTTGCGAACAACATACATTTGTAACCTTGCAACACTGCAACTAGTGATTTGAATAAATTTCATTTATTTTTGTACAAAATGGGGTGAATAGCATTAATAGTAGCATACTGGTGCTTACCAAGTCAGGATCACTTTTGGTGGCAATTCAAGATTACTTGTGCTTTGTTCTAGCATCTCGACGACTGTAGTCATTGTTGGTCGATAAGTTGGTGTCACTTGTATACACCACAAACCTACAATTATCATCTTTCTCATGAACTCTGTGGTCTCACCATTGATCTTAGAAATACTGATACAATAGTCATCCAAATGTTCATAAATCCATTGAGGGAAATATTGACTGCTACATTCACTATCTGCATTATTGATATTCTTGTCCCTTGCCCCAACCATCTCAAGCACCATCATTCCATAACTATAGACATCAGACTTGCTACTTACTATTCCGAATTGCTTTGAGTAGACCTCAGGGGCGATATAGCCTATTGTTCCTCTTGCACCGGCAATGGAGATGGCACTCTCTTTATTTGGGCATAGTTTGGCCAATCCAAAATCAGAGATCTTGGGACAGAAATCATGATCTAATAAAATATTGTGGGGTTTGATATCAAAATGCACAATGCGGGTATTGCATCCACGATGAAGATATTCAAGTCCTCTAGCAATCCCAACTGCTATGTCAAATAATTTCTCCCAGTTTAGTAAATTTTGGTTGTTCATGTTTCTATTGAAGGCGTACCTTTCAAGTGAACCATTAGGCATGTACTCATAAATGAGGGCCCTTTTGGATCCTTCCAAACAAAACCCTAAAAGCATAACAACGTTGACATGTGAAGTTTTGCTAATGCTAGCCACCTCATTCATGAATTCCTCCCCATCACCCTTGGAGTCCTTTAGCAGCTTGACTGCTACCTGGCGGCCGTCAGAGAGGTTACCTCTGTATACATCACCAAAACCACCTTGTCCTAGCTTTATAGAAAAAGACATTGACATTCTTTTCACTTCCGCATAGGTGTATCTTTTTGTACGTAGGTTTCCATTCTTTTGCAGAAAGGACTTGATCATTTGTTCTTCCTTCGGTTTATTGGAGAGCAAACCATATTTGCGAGCCAGGAATAATGCAAGGATAAATAAAGATACAAGTAGAAGTGACAATGTGCTTGCAATAATATCTGCATCAGCAACAAAACACCATGAGTGAATCCAATTTGCAAAGCTATTCATACTTTAACTTTGTTCTTCCAAGGAGTAAAAGATTTTTCAATTGTTGTTATTGGTCCCTGGATTACAAAATGTCTGTTTAATTATTGTTTATCTCAAAACATGAAAGCGAGCTTAATTTGCATGCCTTTATCTTGTATTTCTGGTTAGATGAAAATAGGTACCGCCGATTCTATATATATGCATGCATATCTGACTAAAGGAGGTTTGGTAAAATATTAGCATATAGATAAGCAAAGAGAAAATGACGGAAGTGAAGTCAATGCAAGATATAAGTTCCTTACACGTCTTAGATCCCTTTTTGTGCCCTGCAAATGGAAACATAGAAGCACAAAATAAGTAGATAGAAACATACCATATGCAGACAGATTGGAGACGAGCATATTCAAGAGACCGTCTATATGACTTTTATCACGTAATTTAGAAAACAAAAAAAAACCAAGCTCCAATAGACTCCCTAAACAAATGTACTTTTTAAATGTTTTCACCCATATAATCTAGAAAAAAAGTTCATTTTTAGCCCTCGAACTTTTATTGAAATCACTTACGATACCAAAATTCTGTTTGAAGTTCTCATATTTTGAATTCCAAATTTTTTTGAGTTGTTCGAACTAACTCGGATGGATAAATGAATAATATCAAAGTTGTAGATTTCAATAAGATTTACAGTTTTTATAGTTGATGGCTTTTTCATTTAAAATCATTTATGGTCCCAAATGCCTGTTTTGAAATTCTCATGAACTCAGTGAAGAAATTATCCAAACCAAAGTTGTAGTTCTCGATAAGACAGACTATATTATAAACTTTTTTATACTAATTATATATTTTTCTAATTTAAAAATAATTATTTATGAATTTTAGCGACTTACCTATTATTTTATTATTTTTCGAAAATACATATTACTCGAAACCACATTTAAAATGAGCCAAGGGCCAAAATTGTCCGGTTTTAATAGTTAGATGGTTGTGTATCCCTAGTTTTAGAGTTCAAGGGCTAAATGTTGGCTATTAAGCTGGGTTGAGGGTGCAGATGTTTGGCCCAGGGGTGTGAATTAGAATAGAAACTTGTATCACATTTTGGACTGGGTTTGGCCGCACCCTCACATGGGCCAATATGGATCCACTCCTGCTCGTCGGTTTTCTTCTTTTTAGCCATATTATACGCGACACATCAACCTGAATCGTCAACTTCTACCTTCAAGTTCTTCTCGGAGACTGGGGGCAGAGTATATTACAATATACTCCGTAGGTAATCAAAGAAAAAATGACGGAAGTGAAGCCAACGCAAGATATAAGTTCCTTACACGTCTCAGATCCCTTTTTATGCACTGCAAATGGAAACATAGAAGCACAAAATAAGTAGATAGAAGCATACCATATACAGACAGATTGAGACCATCTATATGACTTTTTATCACGTAATTTAAAAAAGAAAAGAAAAAACTCCAATAGACTCCCTAAACCGCTCTCCATCTTTCTCGCTCTCCAAAACCATCATTCGCGCACCACTCTCTAAATGCAATATACGGTAATTCTCTCATAATTTTTTCCACACAAGAAAAAATATGATAAACTATTGGAGTATATAGAGAAAAGAATTATAGAGACTCCTATAAAATACGGAGATTGAATTTACTAAAAAATTCTACCTAATCAGAGGCAAAAAAAAAAGTGTTAAACTAAGTCTCTTATCTACTCCTATATCTATACTATAAAGCAAATGTTTTTTTAAAATGTTTTCACCCATATAATCTAGAAAAAAGTTCATTTTTAGCCCTTGAACTTTATGAAATCACTACGGTACCAAAATTCTGTTTGAAGTTCTCAGATTTTGAATTTCAAATTTTTTGAATTGTTCGAACGAACTTGGATGGATAAATGAATAATATCAAAGTTGTAGATCTCAATGAGATTTAAAGTTTTATAGTTGATGATCTTTTCATTTGAAAACATATATGGTCCCAAATGCCTGTTTTGAAGTTGTTATGAACTCAGATGAAGAAATTACCCAAACCAGATGAGACAGACTATATTTTATTATATTTTGTATCATGCATTTCACAACCACTTGTTTAACGTACCGTAACACTACTAGCCACCTCAAGAATAAGAATAATTACACAAAAGAAAAATGGCTAACCCAACATCTATAGCCGGCATGCTCTCTATAGAACCCAATACAACATAGGGATACAAGTCGTTCGCACATCTCATCCACCTCTCTACCTACTGCGTTGTCACACTCTTAGCCAGATTCCTTGGTTGGTCCACATCGAATCCCCGGAGAACAGTCAGATGGTATGCGAGCAACTGAACCAAAAATAACGAAAATTTGTTAAGTCAACAGAAAACTGCACTAGTAGTAGTATAACAATAACATTGAAAGGTGCAAAGGGATGTCTCCACGCAAATTTTTAAAAGAATAATAGGAAAAAAAATCTTAGACAAACCTGTAATGGAATTATGTTAATCACTGGCTGGAGACAATCTGCAACCTGTGGAACTTCAATGACTCTGCAGGATCCACTAGGGCATACAGCGGAGGCGTCTCCCCTCGAGCACATCACTATCAGGCGCCCCTTGCGCGAAAGGAGCTGCTGAATCACCGACTGCTGCTTGCTGCAAGAGGTGGAAAACCAAAACCAGCTCAGGCGTTTCCTGTTATCAAGCATAACCAAAACCGGCCTGGTTCTTTTTGAAAACTTTGCTTAATTAATCATTACCTGAAGCATGCATCACGAGTCGCAATGACAATGATGGGAAGGTTCTCGTCCACCAAGGCCAGCGGCCCATGCTTCATCTCGCCAGCAAGCATGCCTTCGCTGTGCATCAGCGCAACCTCCTTGACTTTCAGAGCACCTTCCAGTGCGGTGGCATAGTTGTAGCCTCTTCCAAACACGAGCAGCGACTCTGAATCAATCAGTGACGAGGCGAGTTCCTTCATTTCAACATCTAGTCTGAGAACTTCGCTAACATTGCCTGCGTCATAGAATATACATGCACATTTTGGAGACGTCAGTCAAAACAACCCTTTTGCTTGACTGCATAGCGCAAAGATCTAGTTCAACGTACTTGAAAGGTTGGTAAGTCCACTGATGATAGTTTCCCTTCTAGCTTGAGTAGATATTTGATCAGATCCAATAGCCAACGCCATCATCGCCATGGCTACTATTTGACTTGTATATGCCTGCAAGATTGTCATGTATTGTTAGGACTTCAGAAAAAAATTGAATACCTTCTTTCAGTTATGATGAAAACGGGTAGCTAAAAAGAGGAGCACGTTGCAAAGGGAAAACTTATATACACCAACCTTTGTACTGGCAACACCAATCTCACAACCAGCATTGATATGAACTCCGCAGTGTGTTTTTCTAGACAGTGTGCTTCCAACAGTATTTGTTATGCCAACACAGAGAGCTCCATTTTCTAGTGCATAATCAAGAGCCATGAGGGTATCTGCTGTCTCCCCAGACTGACTAACAAAAACTGCAGTGTCTTCTCTGTAGATGGGACCTTGTCTGTCCAGCAAGTCACTTGCAACCTCCATAGTCACAGGAATACCTATCATCCAGATAAAGCAAGGAGAAAGGCAAAACTTAAAGGATCATTAACTAAATTCTGATTGCTTTGACAAATTCCAAACTTTTCTTGGTAAAGACAATACAGCAGGAGTAATTGATTGGGTTTACCAGTCAGTTCTTCCACAAAAGGTCTTGCAGCTAAGGCAGCATTGTAACTTGTTCCACAACCAATAAAAACCACCCTTCTACAGCGCCTAATTGTTTTGAGATATTCCTTCAGTCCACCTAGAAGAACCCCACCATCCTTCAGTCTACCCCTCATTGTTGTTTTCAACGAATGTGGCTGTTCATGGATTTCTTTTTGCATGAAGTGGTCATAACTTCCTTTCTTTATTTGCTCAACTTCCATCTCAAGAACAGACAATGCTCGTTGCACAGATGCTGGCTTCTCTTTGTGAGGGTCAAACTTGAGGATTGAGACACTACCATCCTGCAATGCTTAAACCAATTAGGCATAGAAGGTTGGAGATTATATTTCTTTGACACAACATCATGGTGAGTTGTTGACAGGGAAGACAGAGCTAAATCGATGATTATCAAGGCCTAGAAATTGTAAAATTGTAATAGATGCGTACCCAGTGCAGAGAGCTCCCGCTCTGTGCGGGGTCTGGGAAAGGGTGTCAGTGGCAAGCCTTACCCTCGCCTGTGCAATGCGAGGAGATCACGACTCGAACCCGGGACAATTCCGGTCACAGGCGGTAAGACTCTACCGCTTGCACCAGGCCCGTCCTTCGTAAAATTGTAATAGATGAACCTTCAAAATATATACTGGTAACACAAACCAGCAAATGCATGTAAAATAACAATACCTTAATATGACAAATTTCATTATCTTCAAGCGCTAAATAGTTCTTCGTATGCTCTACAATAGCACATAGATCACTGGAGAAGAATAATTCTTTGGGCTTTCCGTTTGTTGTCAAGGTTTTGACATCATGAAATGATTTCCCATTCTGTTGACCACTCAATTCCTGAAACACAAGAGATAACGGTCAGGATTTTTACATTCTATACGAAAGGGTTCAGATTCCAAAAAGAGGACTGTAAGATTCAGGGAGCGCAATAACAAAAGATGAAGTATACAACAACAACAACAACAAAGCCTTTAAGTCCCAAACAAGTTGGGGAAAAGATGAAGTATAAAAAGGGCGTACCCAGTGCAGAGAGCTCCCGCTCTGTGCGGGGTCTGGGGAAGGGTGTCAGTGGCAAGCCTTACCCTCGCTTGTGCAATGCGAGGAGACCGCGACTCGAACCCGGGACCTTCCGGTCACAGGCGGTAAGACTCTACCGCTTGCACCAGGCCCGCCCTTCGGGGAAAAGATGAAGTATGGTAATGTAAAATATATATTACTAAAAAAAGGTTGCTCGTAAATGATATCAATCTTGAATTACCTAACCCCATGGTTCTTATGGTCAAACAGTGCAGAGCAAAACATGTGGCAATTAAAAAGTTTGTTACTATATGAATACTTGAGTGTGGATCTTGTTAAGACTTTCCCTTGATGAGAGAAAACATATGATATCAAAAGGCAGTTATAGACTTATAGGGTATTATCTGATGGCTCAATGCAAATAGTGGAACTAACATCTTCTTTATTAGTGCATTATGTTTACAAGTTACAACTATGTTGTTTCCCCGTGTCAAATATTTTTGAATTAGATGACAGCAAGAAAAAATTTAACTTAGGTCCCATTGTAATGGAAAATGTAGCTCAGTACAAACACACAACAACAACAACAAAGCCTGTCAGTCCCAAGCAAGTTGGGGTAGGCTAGAGTTGAAACCCACCAAGAGCCACAAGTCACGGTTCAGGCACATCAATAGCTGCTTTCCAAGCACTCCTATTCAAACATAGATCTCTAGGTATATCCCAAGCTTTCAAATCTCTTTTTATTGCCTCCCCCCATGTCAATTTCCCATTATTAGCTTCGCTTAGGACTCCACAATGCACTGGTGCCTCTGAAGGTCTCCTTTGGACATGGCCAAACCACCTCAACCGATGTTGGACAAGCTTTTCTTCAATTGGTGCTACCCCTAGGCGGTCACGTATATCATCGTGTTCCTAACTCGGTCCATTCTTGTGTGACCACAAATCCATCGCAACATACGCATTTCTGCAACACTCAGTTGTTGAACATGACGAATCTTTGTATGCCAACATTCTGCTCCATACAACATAGCTGGTCTAATCGCCGTTCTCAAAAAAGATTATTTGAATTTGCTCGTATTAAATCTGCCCAAAAGCCTAAAGGGTATAAGGATGTTATTTCACTCACATTGACACCAAGTATCAGTTGGCTGCCTCGTTTGCATGCAATCAATTCATTGGGATAGTGTGGACTTTTAAAGATAAGTGCGTAGGCACCTTCAAGCTGCCTCATGACTTCCATAACAACTTGGCTAAACGTCACATCACCTGAGGAAATGATAAATAATGTAAGGAACTGCCATAACTAGAAGTCACGATGGGTTCAGTCAGCATGAATTATTTTGTAATACAATAACTATTATTCCAAGTTTGTAGTAGTCTGCACATCTCTACATGCTAATAGAAAGCGTTTAGCATAAATATAAATAGCATAGATGTGTATTGAATATTGCCGCATCTGCTTCCTAGGAGACAACATTAATAATTTAACCATCATGCAATGCCCAAAGGATATACTAACTTACATGAAACTACAGATTAAATGGTCCAGATAAAATATCAGAGGGTATTATATTTTCAGCTTTTGTCTACGACAGCAATATTGCAATTTCAAGTATATAAACACACTACCTTCTTCATCATGAGATTTATCAAAAACGAACTTTGCTAGCTTAGGAATGACTTCTGTGTCTGTATCAGACTCAAAGGTGAACCCATGCCTAGTTAGTGTCTCTTTCAAGACCTGAACAGATATGAGAGAAAAATCAAGTTAGACTTGTAATTTACCTTGTTATCATATGGTGGCACGTTAGTTACAACGGAATCAGGAGGATGCACATGATCAAATACAACAGACTTGAGTGTCATAAATGTCCATAAACACAAGATGAACTTTTGAAATCTAACATTAAGTACTGCAGAAAATTTACATAACTAGAAAAGGAAATTCAGGATTGTGGTGGATAACCTGCAGAACTGAAAAGACAGTTCTTGATATTCCATTTGTTAAACAATAAATGATGTACCACAGTAAACCATTCATCATAAGTATTATATATGATCTTCGAAACTAAAGAGCAGATTCTCTGCTTAAAAAATCGGAGGGAAGATAAGGAGACATCCCATGTGAAGGGAGCTCAAAGCAAGTGTTGGTACAGGGCTACAGGCATGTGGTTTCAATGATCCATGTGCACACACAACTGTAAAGACCATATAGAACAAAACAAACAATACGATGCCGCAAGGATTCCACTAAACAATGTCACAATAACAAGTACTTCACCATATGAAACGAAGAACATGCAAGAACTGTATTATATTACATACAACATCACAATGGCAGAGTAAGCAGACCTCATAGTTGGTGATGATGCCATTGTGGACCACCAAGAACTCATCACCGGCGCCGGACGATTGGGGGTGGCTGTTCCTTGGAGCAGGCACACCGTGCGTGGCCCACCTGGTGTGGGCAATCCCAGCATGCACACTGAACGCAGTATCCAGGTTCACATCCTTCTCATCAACCTCTGAAAAAAAGGAACACAATCACAGAAGATGGAGTAAGATTTAGCTTCTGAGCTACCCCTATAGTTCATGGGTTGCACGCATTACAGGATGACTACTACAGGAAGGAGTGCCATGGAAAGTTGTATAGCATGAACTTGCGAGGTAATGCAAAATGGGGAGCTTCAAGTGCCTATACTTGCATAAGATGTCGACAAATGGCATAAACGAAAGAACTCTACTTGATCTGAATGAGCAATTCTACATTCATTCAGGATTTTCCAAGAGCTAGTAATATGTAGAAATTAGAATTCGAGATGATATTATTGCTGAAAACAGAGATCCTGAATTTTGGGAGTCGGCGGTTCCAGTATATGGTGATGAAAGAAATGCCACGCGGTAACAGTAGAATAGAATCATCCAGAATCACTGACAGCAGGTAACAAAATCCCCCCGAAATTGTGACCCAAACCCCCGGTCAAAATCGAAGCTTTCCGATAGAGAAGTCGGTCCCAAAACAAAACAAAAAAAAGGCGAGAAAAATATCCCAGCTTTGCGGCAGGAACAAAGAGAGATTTGAAACGGAAGAGGAATGACCGGAGTAGACGGATTGCACGAGGTTCTCGATCTTGCCCTCCTGGCGGAACACGAGCGGCGGCGCCCCGGCGTACGGCGAAGCGGGGGAGGGGACCTGGCCGCCGTCGGCATCGAGCGCGATCCCGGAGGAGTCGTAGCCGCGGTACTCGAGGCGGCGGAGGCCGTTGAAGAGAACCTCGAGGATGTAGCGGCGCTCCCGCGAGACGTTGTAGTTGAGGTAGGCGAAGATCCCGCACATCCTTCCTGACCCCGGGTGGCGGCGGCGGCCGCCCTCTAGAAGCTTCTGGAGCGGGGGATAAGGACAAACAATGGGGAGCTCGTATGCTAGTAGCCGAGACCGTACAAAGCGAAACGGCTTTGGCTGGGCTGGGTTCGGTTATAAGGAGGGAGAGAGAGGGTGAGAGGGTCCGTTCCGTCCAGTCCGGGAGCGGGGAAGAAGACGACGGACGGGTGTGGGTGCGAGGAGGGAGAAGAAACGGGCAGAAGAAGAAGAAGCCGCGTGGCTTCGATGGCCGACCGACGGCGACGGGGTCAAACAAACCAATCCATGGATGCAGATTGCAGAGATAGAACAGGAGTACATCTGCACAGCTGAATTTTCACACGTGCCAAATGCAAGCCGGTAACACCTGTGACATACTGACATACTCCTCGGTCCACAAAATAATGTAATTATGATAAACGTGTCGGTCAAACTAGTTTTATAATAAATATTATTATTATTTATGTCTCTAAATAAATTTATTATGAAAATATATTTTATAACTAATCTAATGGTACTTATTTTATCTAATGAGTGTTAGTACTTTTTCATATAATTTTAGTCAAAGTTTAAGATGTTTGACTTCTCGAAATGTGAGAATTGCATTCTTCTGTGGACGGAAGGAGTACTCTCTCCAAAAAAGTGTTTTTCTATTAATCGAGACAAATTTGTTCAGACTCATAGAAAAACGATATTTTGTAAGAGCCCTTCGTCCTTAAAAAAGTGCTACTGTATAGAAAAGATTCATACTGATCAAATTTTCTTAACTTCGATTAGATCTTATAGAAAAAAGTAGCAACATTTATATCCCGAATAAGTTTACTATATGAAAATATATTCAGCGATCTATTTAATAATATATATTATGCATCATAGATATTAATATTTTCTTACATATTTTTGTTAAAGTCCTATGAAGGTGGCGACCACAAAAGACTAAAACATATCATATGTCCTCGTACATCATCGGTCTTTAGCTCATGGACCCATTTCTCATGGTATTTGGTTGGCGGACAAGAAGAGTCAAAGACATCCCCCTAAAAATATTCCGTATAGGGATGAGCTCGTCCCTTCAAAAAACTCGGGCTAAAACATATCATATGTCCTCATACTTCCTGGCCGGCGGACGAATGTCGATGATGCGGGGTGAGCTCTCCAACGCAGCAGACGATGATGAGGTAGGCGGCCGGGCGACGAAAGTGGGCAGGAGATCTCCGACAAGCTCCCGCAGAGCTCGGCCTCTGGCTTGGGCGTTGTGGATGTGGGCGGCGGGATAGACATGGGTAGCGGGGGGAGGGGGGTGGTAACCGGGCGATAGCGACGGTTGGCATGGCTAGACTGGTGGAGAAGATACAATCGATTGCGGAAAAAAAGAAAAAAAATAGGAGGAGGACAGATAGGGTCCATGAAAAACTAAGTGGACCTAGACAGCTGCTACCTAACGGTGTAAAAAAATCATCCCACCCCCTCCGTCCACCTAACCAAACCCCATTCCTACAACCAAAGTAAGATGGTTCCCGCCTGTCCATTCAGCCAATCACACATAAAACTATAACGATCACATTCCCACAACAAAACATTGAAGTGGGATAGTGCTAGCCTAGGAATAAGAGATAAGATTATCCCATTTCACATTGTCATCAAACCGAACGTTAGCTTAAACTTATGCTAGTTTGACTTAGAAGAAATTTAAAACATCAAGTTTCCTTTTGAGACGGGAGTAGTAGTAAAAATCATACAAATCTAGAAAAAAAAAACAGAATAACATACAATTTGGAATGTAAGTAGAGCAGTGGAATAAACACCCGTGGACCAGTAGAAGATCTGACGCAGCCAAGGCTGGAGGTGGATGTGGAGCGATACGATTGGCTGGACCACGTTGCCCGGGCTGTGTGCGGTCGCCGGTCGGCGTCCGGCGGTCAGCCACGGCCAGCTGACAGCTGGGCCTGCCTCTGCCTCACCACATGCACGGTGGGTTTGCGACCTGGGCCGGGCCGGGCAGGCCACTTGGTTAGTTTCAACTTTCGAAGGGAACGCGACGTCGCGACCTATAAAGCGAAAACGCGTGCAACTTCACCGCACGTCTGCACCCCAACTAGCATAGGAAAACAACAGCGTTTGAAAAAAAAAAAACACGACAAAAAAACAGCAGCACAACTGCACAAGTTCACCTGCAACCAAAGCTCAGTCCTAATCCAGCATCGACACGAACGTGGTTCCATGATACTCCATTACTGCCTAACATGTACTCACCCCGTCCCAAATTATACGATGTTTTGTATTTTCTAGATACATAGTTTTTGCTATGCACATACATATACACTATGTCTAGATACACACTAAAAATAATGTATTTAGAAAAACCAAAACGTCTTGTAATTTGGAACGTCTTGTAATTTAGAATGGAGGGAGTCCCACTTATCTTCAAAGCTCTTAAATTTGACCATGCTTACAGATAGAGTACGAATGTCTAACACGACATGTAGAAATTTTCATAAAAATGAAACAACCCCATATTTTCACAGAGTAAGTATATTTTACAATAGATCTAATTATGCTCATTTCATATTCATATTGTAATATCATGGTTTTTTATGTATATATAAACGGCCGATTTAGGATATTTTGACTTAGACAAAGGACTGCTGGTACACGAAACATTTGGGCCGGATGATCTGAATCGGACGACTTAAAAAAGTCCTCCTGCACTGCTCCTTTTGTTTTTTCCTTATATGCATGGTGTTTGTTGTTTAGCACAACCTAATTAGTTCAAAATGACCTCGATAATGCTTGGGTTAGGGCGCTCACTTGCTGGGCCTGCCGACTGGCCTAGGCGACCGGACTACCTTGAATTTTTTTTAATTTTAACATTTTTTGGAAATTAATTTTAAATCTAACATAGTCGGTTTTTTATTTTTAAAACTAACACTTTTGGCCGCGCCTATTGCCCTGGCGCGGCCAAATGCCTCATCTTCATACCATGCATGGTGGCGCTGGGCAGCGAGTCGACGTGGCGGCGACCGAATCGCCGATCACCGACGTGGCGGGGCTCGCCACACACCGATCTTAAGCTGGCAGCGATTGCGCTTAGCCACACATGCATGGCGCGTCAAGGGGTGATTTGACGGGCCGCAATAATGTTTACTACGCTTCATTACCGCAATGCGTTGTAGGTGCAGTTTTCCCATTTATCGCAGATCTGATGTGTAGGTGCAGTGCGATCTGCTCCGCTTCGGTACAGCAGATTTCCCATTTCCCTTGCGGTGCATGCACTGCATTTCCATGAACCCACGGCATGATTGGTCTGGTCAGTCTTGTGTTAGGTCCAACCAGAGTTGGGTCTGTCATTTGTGTATGTGTGCATGCATTTATTGTGCTTGCTCAAGGGTTAGTGTGTGTGCAAGAAGAACACAAAACCGGCCGGCTGGTGGTGGATGCGAGAGGCTTTTCGCTGTCTGTCGCTGCTGCCTGTATCCGTCAGTCATCCGTGTGTGTGGTGTGCCTGCACTGCCTGTGACGACGAATAAGCGCAAACGTATAAGCGCGCATGGATTTCAAAATCCAAAATTTGTTAACTTTGACAAAAAAAACAGTCTAATCACAAGAAGAAAGTTTGTGCTATAAAAAGTTGCTGCATTAGATTTACATAAAATTTACCAACCTGCGTAATTTCACAGCACCTCCAAACTTGTTCTCACCTGCCGTGGGGAGAGACTTTCATAAAATTTACCAACCTAGTCACTTGTAAGTGGAGAATACCGGTTCATCTTTTCTCCATCCGACACACCGATAGAAAGGAGCCGTGGGACTTCTCGCTTCCTCGACATGCTCCCAGTGGGCCGGTCAGCCGGTCAGCCCAGCCTAAACCTGACCCAACTTGCAAAATGCTTAGGTCTAGCCATGGCCACGAGCCCGCCCCGGGCAGCTCTCCACGTGTGAGAGCTCCTCCTCGGGCAGCTTCGTTGTGGTCGCGACCTAATGAAGTCAACCTGATGGGTGGTTGACATGTGGGGTCTGGTGCCAGTAGTTTTTCCAAAAGGAACAATTGTTCAACCAAATGACTTTTGTCTTTCCCACAGACCATAACTCGTACAACAACCTTTCGAGAAGCCATGGCTCAACCAAATACACCTAACTCAAATTTGGAAGTTGGAACTAAGATCCTTGTTCACGGTTTTATCTAGTATAGCTAGCTTTTCTTGAAGCTTCGAGTAACTAATAATAATAAGAACATAAAAATGGCATCGTTTTTTGTTAAGCACTGAAGCTTTTAGAACCTCATCTTTCTTAAATCTTTCTTATAAATAAAAAAGAACTCAAAACTAGACATCTCGCAATATTTTCATTAAGGGGGATTGATTATTAATTCTGGCAAAAAAAGGACCTTTAATAACTGCTCCTTCCATTCTAAATTATAAGTGTTTTTTCAGATACAAATAAAAAGTGTGGCTTCAGTGATCTTCAGAAGGACGTTTGAGGTGTATATGTTGTAGCTTCTAGGGTGTGCGTATGTGGTGGTGTGAGTGTGTTGTGTAGAGTATAGATACTACAACTTATACACTATGAGTCAAGGCTAAAAAAAGATACAAATACAAAACTAGGTACCTAAAAAAATTATAACAACTTAGACCTCTCCCACCGTACTACATACTTCAGCTTTTTTTTTACCAGAATTAATAACCAATCCCCCTTAATGAAAAGCCTCTCGCATCCACCACCAGCCGCCCGGTTCTGTGTTCTTCTTGCACACACTAACCCTTGAGCAAGCACAATAAATGCATGCACAGCTCTGGTTGGACCTAACACAAGACTGACCAGACCAATCATGCAGTGGGTTCATGGAAATGCAGTGCATGCACCGCAAGGGAGGCCCTGTTTAGTTCCAAAAAGTTTTCAAAAAAGTGCTACAGTAGCCATCACATCGAATCTTGCGATACGTGCATGGAGCATTAAATGTAGACGAAAAAAGCTAATTGCACAGTTTGATTGGAAATCGTGAGACGAACGTTTTGAGCCTAATTAGTCCATGATTAAATACTAATTACCAAATAAAAACGAAAGTGCTACCGTAGCCAAATTTCTAAATTTCGCAAACTAAACACAGCCGGAAATGGGAAATCTGCAACTGAGCGGAGCAGACTGCACCTACACCTGCACCTACACTGCACTGCGATAAATGGGAAACCTGCACCTACACTGCACTGCGATAAATGGGAAACCTGCACCTACACTGCACTGCAGCCGAGCGTAGCAGCATTATTGCGACCCGTCAAATCACCCCCTTGTCGCGCCATGCGCCGCGGCGTGACACTGCCGCGCCAAGATCGGTGGCGCGGCAGGCCCGGCTACGTCAGCGGTCAGCGATTCCGGTCGCCGCCACGTCAGCCCGCTGCCGCGCCACCATGCATGGCGCGGCACATGCATTTAAAATTGACAGGGCAATAGGCGCGGCAAAAAGTGTTAGTTAAAAAAAACTGACGGTGTTAGATTTAAAATTAATTTCCAAAAAGTGTTAAAATTAAAAAAAAAATTCTCCCCAACATCTCTACTGCGCATCAGGCATCCACTCATCCAAACATTCCCCACTTCGCTCCGACCGCAGGGGCCGCCGCCACTGTGCCATCCGTCCTCCGCGACCGCCTCCACCATGCCATCTGCCCACCGTGGTCGCCTCCACCGCGTTGCCGGCGAGCCTCCACAATGGATGCTCCAGCAAGCAGGCGAGAAGAGGAGCTTCGTGTGACGCCGCCCCGTCGGTGAGTTGCCCGTGCCGTTGCTGCACCGGCGAGCTCCGCACTACCGCGAGCTCCACGCGCCGCCGCTGACCACGCAGTCGTCGAGGTCCTCAACGACCAGTATCCACCCGCCCAAGCATGTTGCAAGTGTATGTCCAGGTGTTTCAACGGTTTTAGACGAATGTTGCAAACTGTTTATCTGGATGTTGCGAAAATACATCTACACGTTATATATGTTGCAATACGTATATAAAAATATTTCATCTGTTTCAGACGTATGTTGCAAGTGTTTTTATCTGGATGTTGCATATGTTTTATCTGGATGTTGCAAGTGTATGTTTCAAACGTTTTATTCGTTTTCAGACGTATATTGTATTCAAGTGTTTCATGTAATCATGTTGCAAGTGTTTTATGTTTCAAAGGTATGTTCGGAGAGTCACGGGGCGCGTGAGTGATGAGGTCATGGCCGAGGGCCGGCGAACAGGGCACAAGGCGAGCCAGGTGAGGTGGGGAAGGGGGGGGGGCAGCGTGCTAGGGCTGTACGGTACAGCAGGCGACGCTAGCCTGTCCCAAATGACGTAGCTAACTACCTTGTCTTAAACATTCGTAGATATCCAACACTTACTGTCGTCAGTGACAACAACAAAACTTACTAAGACAAGGGACCGGCGGCTGGCGTATACCATTGCGCCATCGTCGGCCTTGTTGCAAACCTAGACCACATTCAGCATGCAAAATTCCAAGATGATTCCACAATATATTCCAGCAAACCCAGCAGACAAAGTTAAATGCTGCTATAGTAATTTATAGTTACCAGACACAGCAGAGTACACGGTATATGCTAACAGGCGTTCCAATTCCCAGCGGGGATCGCGGCAGGATAAGGATAAGAATAAGAATGTAATAACGCACTGGCATCGCATCCACCTCCTTCTGCCTGATTTGTCAACACGACACACCTAACCCGGCCTAAACGTACAGCAGGGCAGGGCAGGACATGACAAAACCCAGGCACGCTAATCCCTATGCTTCTCTTTGCATCTGCATGCTCGCTGTCACCACTCCTCCCTGCCTGTCCTTGGAGACTCCTTAAATTAAAAAGGGTAATCCAGTTATTGGCCTGCAGTACAGCTTGACTGTGAGCAAGCAAAGCAGAGGGCGCTGCTCCTACGGCAACAACAATGCTTCTGCTCTGGCCATCCGTTGAAAGCAAGGCAGGCACAGATGTCCATCTCGCCATCACCATGGCGTGACTCGTGAGAGTATCAGAACAAGCATCATGCAGCATCAGGAGGAGCAGCAGCAGCAGCCAGGACTAGAGGGCGTCGTCATGAAGCCATCAGAGCCTGCTGAGGATGAGCAGGAGCAGGAGCAGGAGGCCAGGCCCAGGAGGATCTACCAGGCTTGGAAGGGAAACAACGTGAGCTTCCATCTCCTTCTCTAGCTCCTTTATTACCAGTAGTGATCTGTTCTTCGAATGGTTTGAGAACTCTTCAAACAAACGTTGCCAGCCAGAAACAGACCAGAGTTTTACTGACAGAGCAGCTTCCACCAACCATCTGCAGATATTCCTGTGTCGTGGGCGGCTGATATTCGGACCCGATGCCGCGTCCCTCCTGCTCACGACGTTCCTCATCGTCGCCCCAACCATCATCTTCTGCTACCAGATGAAATCCAAGCTCTACGGCTCTGGTGGGCACCGGCAAATGCAACAAGCAGCAGCACTGATAGTCACCATCACAACAATCATGGTCAGTGTATATACCGTCTTCTCCCAGCAATCATCATGAATTCCATAATGGTTTCTGCCTAGATATCTGAAACTGTGGTCATCCAGGACTTCCAATCAAGGGTAAAACATTCCAATTCCCACTAGAGCCCAAAACTGAACCATGCCTTCAAATGCAGGACCTTGTCTTCCTATCCATGACATCCGCTAGAGACCCAGGAATAGTGCCAAGGAACACGAGAGCGCCTCCTGAAGCTGACGAGTTTCTCGGCTCCAACACACCATCTATGGACTGGAGCGGCGGGAGAACCCCACGGATGAGGTTCCGTCGGACCAAGGACGTCATCATAAATGGCTTCACGGTGAAGGTGAAGTTTTGCGAGACCTGCCTGAGGTACCGTCCACCACGATCCTCGCACTGCTCCATCTGCAACAACTGTGTCCACAAGTTTGACCACCACTGCCCATGGGTTGGCCAGTGCATTGGACTTGTAAGTAACCGACTCTGCTACACAGTAATTTGAATGTTGAAATTACCAAATTCTAGCTCCAGGCCTCCACTGGAAGACCATGTGTCAGTCCACTTATTTCATTACTGCTATGCATATCATTGACATCAAACAGTGATTAGTTTCAGTAAGAGACAGAATCAGATCAAACCTAGCTTACTTTCTTGTAATGTCTCTAGTATTTATCTATATTTAAACCTGTCGCTGAATCTAAAGAGATTAAGCAACTTGGACTTATGCATGCATCTAGTTGTACTATTAACCAAAAAAACTGATCCAATTAGTTGTGCTTGACCAAACAACTAGTGGCAACTTAACTTTTCACTAAATAAACCAGGGAAAGTTGTTAACTCTGATTGGATTTGTTGATCAGATTAGACACCTAACTAGGAAAGTGATCTTCCAAACTTATAATAGGAGTACTGAACCACACCTAACATATAGGCTTCGAGGACATAGTGTCATAGTTTGCATTAAAAACTGATTAGCCAAGCAAAATCCAAAGTCATATTTCAGAAATGCAATAATACCTTAGAAATAAACAGTAAGTTTTAAAAATGTCGCATTCCTATCAATATTTCATTCTTAAAATAGTTTCCATTGTCCTTGAATAAATAATAATCACCGTTTTTTCAATGCTTCTTGCAGAGGAACTACCGCTTCTTCTTTCTGTTCATAGCAACGTCGACTTTCCTGTGCATATTTGTCTTTATTTTTTCATGGCTGAGTGTCTATAGCCAAATGAAAGACAATGGAGGCTTTATCTGGAAGGCCTTGCGCAAGGAAGCATACTCGTTCGCGCTAATCATATATACTTCCATTGTTGTTTGGTTTGTCGGAGGCCTCACAGTGTTTCATCTCTATCTAATCGGGACTAATCAGGTGATTGCACTTCCTTTGGTTGCATATAGTTTTTAGAATACTGTTACAAACTCTGATCTTATTATACCAGAAATGGAGCAGTGCACTTGACAGGACTATATGATATATCAAGACAGTTTTGATATCTTGAACTAGCTGCTCCACAGATTAAGATGGTAATCCAAATAGGGAAATTTGCTCTGGGACTGGTAGATAATAGGATATAGTAAAAGCAACAGGGATTTGTACTGACCAAATATTTTAATTGGATTTCCAGAAATCTCTACTTAAATTTCATTAAAATGCAAAGGCTGTACAAGCTACATACATAACGAAAATAAAGGGGGAAATGTATTTTTACAACATGTAGTACATGTATAAACCTCCTTATGAAGGTTATGAACAGTATGTTATCCAAAATATTAAGTTGATTACGATCTGCAGAATGCAAAGTAGTGCAAAGTTTCCATAAGTTGCAATGCCTACTGTTAGTACTTACAGCCTCCAATACTTTTAATTGATATTAATTACTACCTACATATTTTGCAGACAACATATGAAAACTTCAGATACCATTATGACAAGAAGGACAATCCCTACCGGAAGAGCATTGCAGCAAACTTTGCAGAAGTGTTCTTTACCAAGATACCACCTCCGATGAACAATTTTCGTTCATGGGTAGGTGAAGGCGCACTTGAAGCTGGATTCTACACTCCATACATTGGGCTGGATGTGACAAACCCAAGGGAAAAGATTGATCTAGACATGGAAAGCAAAGAAGTACTTGTTGGGGGTATGCAGATTCCAACGGTACTTCAGAACATAGACTATGGTTCTTTTGAAGAGAGTTCAGATGACAAGAACAGAAATGCTGGCGAAAAATCAGTGCATTTTCCTATAGCTTGGGCACAAGGAAATGGAGATGCTGGAACATCTGCAGGAGCTGCCACAGCATTAAACGATGAAACAAGCGAGGACGAGTTTAATGAAATTGGCAGTCCGAATACAACTACAACCCAAGCATCTGCAGAAGTTAACACAGAACCACCAGGTGAGGGTGATGCTAAAGAAACTAATAGTTCGAATAGAACTGCCAAGTCTCCGAAGGAATGAGAAACTAGCTTTGTTTTACCTGTGTATATTTGGGGACTTGTTTGTAGATATGGGCATTGTGATTTGTCAGTTGACATGATTATTTATAACATATAGGATACATACAACACAATAACAGAGCCTTCTTATCCCAAGCAAGTTGGGGTAGGCAACATACAAGATTCTGAAGAAAATTGAAAATGTTTTTAAGGAGAGTGTGTTCATCTATTTGTACATTTTTCATGCATTGTTCCTAATGTTTTTGCATTTTAGTCTTTCTGAGCATGTTGGATGTATAAGTTGACTGCTTGCTTGTTTTCGTATGCCAGGTGAGATTGATAAAATGGAAGGGACAGTGGATAGGGATGACCGGAGATGTAATACAATCTAGATATTGTGCGAATTACACCACAGGAGCAATTGATTTTTGTAGAAGGAATTCATACATCGTTGAATGACATCATTAATAAACCAACGCCATTTCTAATTATTGTGAGTACAGTACAATTGGAAACCAAATTTTCCAAGGTAAATGGAATGTAGGGCACAAAACGAAGTTCCATAGCTAAATGGCAGTATCATGGATCACACATACGTGAAGAAAAGAAGCCCTCATGGCTGGTAGACATCAGGAAGCTGGAGGCCTACACTGGCGGCAGACTTGTTCAATATCTTCTTCATTTCATCAGATCGGTCCACAGCTATGTTGTACGAGAAGAGCAGGTCCTGGACAATCAAGCATGATGTAGAGTTAATGGAGTCCATAGTGCATGATAAGCTCACAGTATAGTGCTATTGAGAACACGCTCGGTGTAGAAAGATGTATTTAATCAGGTCAAATCATGGAAATGAGCAATTAAACCACCATGCGTCCACACTCAGACTGAAATGGGGAAACACATAGTGCCATGTGTTATCCAACTCATTGCATGATTATGAACCATACTACGCTACTAATTACCAAAGCAACGATTGGGGATTGGGTTTGGGTCAGCCAACCGCTATCGACTCTAACCCAAAATTCTCGTGATAGCGAACTCTCGTTAAGTTATACCAAATTCTCTAAGCAACGCAACCCCTCCTTGGCATTTCATCGAACACGTGACCTCCCTCGTAGAAAAGGGAGTAGATCATGCCGTTATCAGAGGCACAACAGAAACCAAATACTGCGCACCGGATCATCATAGAACGCAATCTCCAATACCTTGTGGTGGTGGACGCTGGTGAGGAGGTAGGCGTAGTCCCCGGCGAGCCGTAGCCTGGCCCTGGCGTCGGCCTCCGTGCCGGCGGGGGCGCGGAACTCGGCCGCCACGAAGTCGCGGAAGTGCTGCTTGGTGGCGCCCCCGCCGACGTGCTTCTGCACCGCCTTCAGCACCCGCCGGTACACCGCCGCCGCGGCCGCCATCGGTCCGTCCGTCGGTCTCCCTTCGAATTCGACTGGAGCGGCGACCGGCGAGGGAGGGAGAGAGAGAGAGAGAGAGGGGCCGACGGGCGGGCGGGCAGGTGGCGGCGGACGCGAGTGTTCGTGTCTCTGACAGTCTGGTGAGTGCTGACCGTCCGATCAAGCTTGTGCGGCGGGGATCGAGATTACAGATGGTGATGGCGTTTTCTTGTTTTTCTTCGTCGTCTTATTATTTAAATAAATAATTTGATTCATTCATCGTTATGATCGACGTGACGTGGATCATAACGGAGGCATCGTTGTTAAGCAAGGCAGCTACATCCTCGGCAGCTCCGGCTCTACAATTCGCACCGGACGTACGAACGGACACCCGTGTCCAGACGTTCACGGCTGCAGTTCGTTTTCCCGTGTTCACGCATCGGTCGGGCGTTGCTTGCCCGCGCTTGCGTCGCGTCCCCTCCAGCTTTCTACGCGTATCCCATATACAATACTTCTACTTTCGAAACATTTAGACGTAACATTTGCATCATAAAAAAAAAGATAGATGAAACACTCAAAACATGCATCTAAAACACTTAAAAACCATTGTAAAACATACACAACATCCGTATAAAACACCTGCAACATATATGTAAACACATATGCAACATCCAAATAAACACGCTAGCAACATACAAACATTGGAGACAGACTCTTGCAACATACGTATACAAATATTGCAACATATGCAACATCCCGATCTACTTTTGCAGCATCCGTATGAAACGCTTGCAACATACCTCTAAAACATCTGAAATATTTGAAATATAAGCTTGTAACATGCAGCATATCCTGGTACGGCCTCCTCCGTCGTCTACATGCGGGCGCACGGAGCAGCGGCAGGAGTAGTGTGGCGGGCGGCGGAGGAGTAGGAGCAGCGCGGAAAGAGCTGCAGGGGCAACGGAAGGGGCCGCGGACGGCGGAGGAGAAGCAGAAGCAGCGCAAGGCGAGCAACAAAAGGGGACGAACGCAAGGTTTTGGCTGTGTTCGGCTGGCATAGTTCGGCTAGCTGGTTCGTTTTTTTAGCCGGAGCAGTATTTTCCTCTCACAAAATACCAGCATGAACAGTATCAAAATACCAGCATGAACAATATTTTTCATGCCAGCCGACGCCTGTGTTCGGCTGGCTGGTTCGCTTTTTTTCCCAGCCAGAGCAGTATTTTTCTCTCATAAAATACTAGCATAAACAGTATCAAAATCCCAGCATGAACCGTTTTTTTCCGTACCAGCCGAACACTCCCTTTATTGGGCCACTGATCCGCAGGTCCCGGCACGCGGCGTCTAGAGGGACCGATGCCAGCGTCCTATCACCCCTACAAATTTGAAGTAATTTGCAACCGGGGCAAGCAATCTTTCAACAAATAGATGGGAAACAAAAGTACCCGGTGCAAGAAATTAGGAGTTTGTGGCATCATCGATCCCACGTATCTATCACTGAATGTGAAACATGAAGGGATTATACAAGCATCATATCAGATCAAAAAAATATTATACAAGCATCATAGTGAATCATGTAAAACAAACCATGCCAGTTAGTACCCCGCGTGCACTCTCTAAAAATCAGCAATAGTATTCGCCTGCTTCAAATTGTAAGCTATTTTATTTATCATTGTTATAAAGTTAAATTTGTTTAATTTTGACTAGGTTTATAGAAAAACATATAAACATCTACAATATTAAACAAACGCATTGTCAAGATATATTATATAGTGTATCTAATGAATCTTAACATTATGCATGTTTGTGCATTTTTCTATAAAGTTGATTAAAGCTGGATAGGTTTGACTTAGTAACTTGATTTGGAACCAGGAGAATACCATTATTTTTTAATAAAATCCAAATATGTTTTGCTGTTTATATTCTTTAAAAGGCTAAAGCTTCGATGATATATCTACGTCTCAATATCCTTGAAGAACCTAAATCGAAGTTTTGGATGAAATAAGCGAAGGACATTGTTACTCCACAAGACTGTAGGACAACGAAACAAAAGGAAAAACTTAACTCACTTCCACACAATGAAAAATGAGAGTAATCATCTCACTTCCACAAAATGAAATATGAGAGTTGCTATATATTTCAAGTGACTGAATTTTTAGACAAAAATAATTTTAGACAACCAATTAGTAAAATTAAAAAGATACATAATTAACAATTTTTCTATAGTCAAGCAATAAAAAAAATACATGTTGCCTAAACAACAATAAAAAATCAAGCACCTAAAATATAGGAGAAGTGATGAAAAACATATCTAACACCCCCAAAAAAATTCAAACAAGCTACTACTCTCCATTTAAGTTCATACTGATGCATGTTTCTTCAAGAAATCAATTGCCACTGCGGCATGGAATGCAGCTCCGACGGGGAGCGCATCCTCATCGATCACAAAGTATGGGGAGTGGGGTTGCTTTACTGCCACCATTGTGCTTTCGTTGCCAACTCCAATGGTGAAGAAGGCACCGGCCATTTTCTGTGCATAGAACCCAAAATCCTCCGCACCCATCACTTGAGGAGCAACCTTGACGTTATTTGCCCCTAGCAAGCTCTCAGCCACTGCCTTTGCATGAGCATACATTCTCTCATCATTGTTCACAGCAGGATAAGGCCGCATCTTCTCCTTCATGAAGTCCACAGAAGCAGTGCAGTGATGTGCCGAAGACTGTCCTTCTACAATCTTACATGCATAGAAGCACTTCTCAATTGTAGTAGTAGAGACTGTGGTATGTTTATATAGGTTCAGGTTTTAGAGGAAGTTAATTACCTCTTTAATCCTCTTCATGAGATATGATAAACCATCATCTGAAATGCTCCTCATGGTGCCACCAAAGGTCACAGACTCTGGAATGACATTGAAAGCTTCTCCTCCTTTCACAAAAGTGATAGATACCACCTGGAAGATTATTCAGTAGCAACAAAGAGGCATCAATCTTTCAGCATTTCTACGCAACCCATACACATACACACATAATTTTTTTTGCAACGCAGTGTAGTAAGCTTAACATCACTTACTGCGCCATGGAGGGGATGGACTTCACGAGCAACAATTTGCTGAAGATTGAGGATTGCCGTGGATGCAACCACAACAGGATCAATGGATTGATGGGGCATTGCAGCATGACCACCTTTCCCATGAATGGTTGCCAAGAATCGACCTGCTGTTGCAGTGACGGGTCCTGGCTTAGATGCAACAACACCTACTGGAAGTGCTGGGTCCACATGCAAGCCAAATATGGCTGACGCGTCGGCAAGGGCACCTTCTTGCAAGACATAGTAGGCTCCTCCATAGCCCTCCTCTGATGGTTGGAACACAAGCTTTACAATACCCTAATGAACGAAATAATGATAACCGCATGAGTTGTGAGCCTTGAATGCAAAAAATTATCTATTGAAAGCAGGCCACTAGAAGGAAAAAACCCCCATAATTACACTGACAGTTCTTTCTTGATCATAAAGGTCATCGATTCGCTGACGGTCTATGATATTTAGAAATTCAGATTGTTTCAGTTGCAGATATGATACCTTGAAGTCACCCTTCCGATCTTGAAGTAGCTTAGCAGCTCCTAGGAGCATTGTGGTGTGCGCATCATGTCCACAAGCATGCATTTTCCCACTTTCTTGGCTCTTGTATGCCCAATCTACCATTTCCTGCAAAAGGACAATTAATACCAATTAAAGTACTGAGTATTGTTGTTAGCATTACAGGGGTATACATGGAAAATATGGCACTGACTAGCCATGACCACATCCAATTCATGATTGTGGTGCAAACAATAATACAAGTTGTGAAGTTATTTTTTCTTCTTAACTTGCTGGCAAACTACATTACGTTGGCATTTGTGTTGCTTTCACTACCTTACCAAATCCTCTAACATGTTCATTCATTGCAGAATTTAAATGACAAAACAGTATACTTGGAAAGAATCTTGTTCGGCTGATGCATTTAGTTGTGCGAAAATTGGGTATGGTGTTCTATCTGATACACAATTGGTAAAATCTTAGTGAACTAAAAATCATATAGAGATAATGTGATAGATACCTCAAGCACAACAAAGAAGAAGTGGAAATTACTAGTGTCAGATAACAAACTTTCATATGACTTATAATCAATTATCAACAAAGCTGGCTATAACTTCTATAATCTCGGACATGTCCTTGTTAACCAAACACTGAAGAGATGGTTCATGGTTGTCCATGTTAATCTCGGGCATCCTCCCCAGAAATAACTTGCGTTATTTATTGATTAAAATGTTCATAATTCCCTCGCTGCATTGGCCAATATTCTCCATGGAACCAATGCAGCTTTTATCGATCATCACGCCAGATCCTATTTCATGAAAATAATGCATCATCTTGTACAAAGTAGTTGACTGAAACTCAAATTAATCTCTCTTCTTTGGAGAGAATTAGATCGAAGTTCTTTTTTTTTTTGGAGAATTAGAAAACACGGAAGTATAAACAATTCTTTCTCTAGGCAAGAAATATCATAATCCATAAACATACCTGTATAGGGAGCGCGTCCATGTCAGCCCGGAGAGCGACCGTGGGCCCGGCGCCGCCGCCGCCAGCAATGGTGGCCACAACGCCGGTCTGTGCGACGGGCCACCTGTAGGGCACGCCGATCGCGTCGAGCTCGGCGCGCACGAGCTCGCTAGTGCGGTGCTCCTGGAAGGCCAGCTCGGGCCGCTGGTGGATGCGGCGCCGCACGCCGCGGAGCCACGCGGCGAACCCGGGCGCGCTCGCCTCGCCGAGGAGTGGTTGCTGTTCTCCGACGACGGCTCCGACCGACGACAGGCACAAGGGAAGTACTGGTGCTAGGTACAGGGCGAGGAGGAGAGCAGAGGCGGCGGCGGCCATGGCCACGTATGAGATGGCTCAATTTTCAAGTGGTAATGGTCGCTTTATTTTGCTTCCGTTTGATGTTCGTTGGCCGATCCGATTACAAAGGGATACATAGATCTGTGTACTGAGTTAGTCAGTACCTTGATGACTCCTTAATATCTCGATCATTTGGCAAACAATACGCATACATCTACCAAAGCTTTTTGCATACGCCAATATTTTGTCATGAAGGACAAGGCCGGGCCAAGCATTTCTAATGTTGAGATGTCATGATGGTGATCTAGCTAAATTAGCCGCCACATGTATTCATTCATTCATAATAATACTCCCAGTATCCATATATAAGTGCTTCCCTTTACCAAATTGTTAGGGGGATTTTTTTTCTTCTTTTTGCTAAAAAACCAAAAATAGGGTGTTATGTTACAAAAGTCATGGAGATGCTCTTAGCATTCAAAATTGTCCATAAATGTACCCATTTTTAACATAATCTAAACCCATGTCTTCCCATCATTAAAATAAAACTAATTAGTTCTTGTCATTTTAATTAACTTTTGTTAGTGTAGTCTTGATATTTAAAAATTTAGATAGCACCTACCATTTGTTGTGCTCCCTCCGTCATGTAATGTGGCAAAAGATCACTTTACCCCTCACTAATTAGGATGGACAGAGTAGTTTAGTTGTTGTTGTTTTAATTAATGTTGTTTGTTTTGGTTGACACTAAAAGTTTAAACTCAATATTTCCTACCACAAAAGACAAACGAGAGAGGAGGCTCAGAACCCAGAATACCTTCTATTTTTGTTATAAATTTTGAACTCTAGATCCTTTATATTACAGGATGAAGGGAGTAGGTGATATATTGATGGGTATTATAGTAATTTCCCTTCCTCTTATTAACCTATCCTAAATAAAATAAACCAGAAATGCTTTGTGAGGGAGGGAGTATTCCTGGTCTATAGATTTGTCATTGATTAATAACATTGTCCTTTAATTTAAAAAGAAACTAAGGGTATTTGCTACATACTCTTCAAATTAAAAACAATCTAAGATGTAATAGGATTCATTGCTCTGTCGAAAACACATGAGCAAAATACTAACTTTTAGGTGTACATTTATAGTTTAGTGAGCCACGTATTTCTAAAAAAAATACAAGCCAGTAATTGGTAAATCTACAAGCACCGGTGTCAATTTGATGATTTAACTAGTGAAAACGTTTCGCCATAGAAAAACCAAACCAACTAAGCTCTTATTTGTGTACTAGCTTCGAAAAAATATTCAGTGATGAATCTTTTTAAAGTCTTATATTGATAACTTTTGAAATATTCTATTTATTTGGGAACGCGACACACATGCATAGATTTATCCTAAAGGCATTTTTGTAATCTCAGAAATTTGTTGCATTTTATTGAATATACATTATGACCATACTATAACTATATAGGAAAAGATGGTGAAATGTAAGTATACATCTCTATTAGAGATCGTGCCACTTCTAAAATGTAAAGTACTATACAAATTTGACTAGAGGGAGTATTTATTCTATACATTAGCAAGGTAGGTGTTTGGTTTGAGGAATTGATTAGTCTATCGTCTTTTTATTCTTTATTTTTTTTATTTTGTTGTGAAATAGAATGGGTTGATGCATCATAACTTTATTCCTATCAAGCTAATTTGAGAAATGAAGTCATTCCAATAAATTTAAGGAATGAGCTCATCATATTCCACCGCATCTAAATATGGTTTAATTCCTCAAACCAAACATCCTATGACTATGCGAAAAGAGAGCAAAATATTAGCGCATTTCTGCAAAATCTCCCAAAATTGTATCTCATTTCACTCTCTAGTGTTTTAACTTCATGGGTTCCCCTACTGCTGGTATTTTACTTCTACATTCAGAAATAATTCTCCCTCTGCCCTCTCACTGCTCCAACAATCTTTCAAGTGTTTTGCTCAATCATCCTACTACTGCTGCCTGTGTGTGTATACCCTGTAACAAGGAAACAATACAGTCCCTAGGCGACGGTGACCATGCATTGGTCATGCACGCCGCGTCGTGGGGTCTCGGCAGGACCCGGGAGGTGCCTCGAAGCGGACGTAGTCGTACAAGACCCCCAGGAACTCGCCGGCGGCCTTCGTCTGCGTGATGCTAACGCTGTTCTCGCCCTCCTGCAGCAGGTACCCCCTGATGGGGAACTCGAAGCTCCACTGCACGCCGTGGATCCCGTGCCGCGCGATGGCGTTCCCGCCGCCGAACTCCGGCGTCATCAGCTCCGCCACCCTACCTCCCCTACCGTTCACCCGCACCTGCAGCCTCGACATCTGCGCGGCCACGAGCGCCACGCGCAGCGTGTACGTGCCGTCGTCCACGACGCGGTCCAGCGTGAACCGGATGTCCCGCGTCGTCGCCGTGTACCGCCCGTCGCCTACCTTCCTGGTGACATGCGCGAAGAACCAAGGTTTTCATTTTCGAAAATTAAAATTTATCGGGGTCACAGATAAAGAGAATAAACAAGATATATCGGAAATATCGGACCAAATTCAAATAAAATTTAATTTAAATTTAAGTAAATTTAAATAAATTTAAATAAAATTTGTACGAAAAAGATAGATATTTTCATATCAGCACCTACGGATAAAAAGGATATATCAGAAATATCAGAAGATTTCGGCCGAAAAAGAAAACCATACGAAGAACCAGTCCTTGGAAGCGTCGCTCTGGCCGACGGTGAAGACGGGGTCGCCGTCAGGGTACAGCTCGGCGTACCTCGCCCACAGGCCGTACTGCCTGTACCTGTCCTTGCTCAGGAACAGCCTGTTGGATCCACGTCGGGGACGAAGAACTCCGCGGCGGTGCGGTCGGGGACGCCGATCTCCCACACCGTCGGGCCCGACCTGGGTGGCCGGAACACGACGTCGCCGAGGTCGACGACGGCGCCGCCTGCCGTCACGGTCACAGACGAAGCGGACACGTAGTCTCCGAGGACCCCCGGAACCCACGCGTAGAGGCTGTATACCCCCGGCCGGACGTTGCCGATGGTGAAGCTGAAGCCGCCGCCGCAGGACGCGTCCGCCGCCGCCGCCGTCGTCCAGAACTGGTAGCCCTTGCACTCCGTCTGCCACGAGCCAGCCTGCCCGGGCGCGGCGAGCCCGACGTACGCCGTCGTCGGGGCGGGAACGTCGTCGTAGGTGCTCGTGAACGTGTCGTCCCTGACCACTAGCCTGCCGGTGACGGAGCCTCTCTCGTCGGCCTTGGCGAAGTCCGGCGACTCCGGGAAGGTGTACGGCCACTTGCCGGCCTCCGCCCGCGCCTGCGCCTTGGCGTCGGCCCAGAGCGCCCTGAGGTCGCCGCCGCGGCTGGGGCCGGAGTTGAGGTAGATGAAGACCGGGCCCATCACCTTCTTCCAGTACTCGCCGTCGCCGATGCTGAGCACGATGTCGTTCCCGACGTAATTGTGCCAAGAAACATCTGGCATATATATATACATATGAATATATGATGTACATTCATAATTTCAAACATATATATGAATTTAATTAAAGTTTTCAGTTTCTTTCAGGTTCAGGGTTTCGATTTGGAAACTGGTCGATGGGGTTGAAGAAGGATCGGAGCTGGATCGATCTTTAGATCTTACAGTGAGGGAGGTGGGGCCGACGTGGGAGGTGAGCTCCCGCTTCATGGGGCCACCGCTCTTGAACTCGTTGCTGGGAGTGATGACCCAGAAGCCCATGGGGCTGGGGTGTCCGCCGCCGCCGGTGATCCAGCCATGGACGGCGTTGTCCTTGTTGTCCATGGAGTACTCGTACTTGTCATCCACCTCGCCCTTGAACTGTGCACTACCCTAGACGTGAACATCACAGTGAAGTGGGTTTTTGAATCCACCTCACTGTCGGATTTTGAACCGACAGTGGCATACTGACATCACTGTCGGTCCTTAAAAACCGACACTAATCTACAGAAAATAGTGTCGGTTTCTGGCTCCACCTGGCAGTGTCCAGTTGAACAACACTGTCGGTTTGTAGTCCCAACCGACAGTGACGGTTGCTTCAAGAGTATCGGTTCTTGGCTTAAGCCAGCAGTGTTGAGCAAGCCTACACTGTCAGTTCATGGATCAAATCGGCAGTGTTGTCGTAATCATCAGTGTCGGTTAATGGTTCAAGCCGGTAGTGTTGAGCAAGCCAACACTGTCGGTTTGTTTTTAACCGGCAATGATGGTTACGACAACACTGCCGGTTAGTTGCTAACCGGTAGTGATAGTTATGGCAACACTACCGGTTTGTTGCTAACCGACGGTGATGTCCCGTTCGTATTTTATTGTTTTATAATTTATTTTAATTTATATTTTTCCGTGGAATCAGGTTTCACTTTATATATGCTACGTAGACGACAGGTCCATCAATATTAAACATTACAAATGTTACGATTATAGTTCAAATGTTCTTATCAAGATCTCGATACCTCAAAACAAAAAAGAAATGTTCTCGAACTTCACAGATTGTGCAATGCTTCTCGGACTTCTTACAATAATCTGGCGAGCCGCTCTAGGCCATAATGGTCCTTGTACTTCACGGATTGTGCAATGAAAAATACTCCATCTTTTTCTAATATCTCGGCTAAGATGAATTTTGCCAGCTCCGATTGCAGTGCGACGATCTCCATGTCTAACAGCCTTTCGTTGTTATATTTCTTGCGCTGTCGTTCAAAAAAGATGATATCAAAAAAGAAACAGTAAATCATTTTGTTGAATTATTAAAAGACATAAATGAAATGGGGATTATATACACCAATTTATTGGCTTCTTCCGATTTCCCGCTGATGTAGCGAAGCATTGCCCACATTATATAAAACCCGCATTCATTGTTTCCCGCCGGCTGTGATAGGTACTTTCCCTCTATTTCGACAACCTTGAATGGGACCGGCTTCCCACCGATATATCTTCTTCGGACACTGAGCAACATTAAAAGGAGAAACATTAGAAAGTGGTATGTGTGATTAGAAAATAATATATTATTAGGATCGCTTACTAATTCAGCACTACGACCAGTGCATCCAGATGATGAAATTGTTTTTTCTTCGAGTCCCACACCTCGATTAGATTTTTGGCAAGATTAACATAAATGAAGATGAAATGGTTGCTGCAATCATAGAATCATAATTATTGAATAATCTTAACAAAAACAGAAGCATAAAATTAAAAGCCGAGAACACATACTCGCAGTTGTTGGCTAGAAGTATGTGGGTTTTGTTCTTCATCGTGAATTCATCGAAAACAGCCATCAATCTCTGTTTCAGGTCTTCCACGTCACATCCATGGAGGCCTAGACATGATCTCTCATTGACTCGCAAGGGGTCCAAGAAGCCTATGTAATCCCATTTGCTTTTTAGAATGCAAAAATTTGCTATACACCTAAATAAAATCATAGGAAGTGCTCAAAAGTTAACAATTTGTGTCTCGAGAGAGTTGTTAATCGTAATATCGTGCGTGTAGAGTACTTACATAGTCGACAGCGTCAACATTTGAACATCGAGTGAGCGTTTCTGGTATAGCTGGAACAAGCACTCCCACTCGACATCGAACTTCTCTTCTTCAGGATTATAGAAAACTTGTGACGAACGAATAATAACCTCAAAACCAAAGTCGTCCGTCTCTGTTGATTGAGCCATGTAATATTCATGTAACAGGCGCATATATGTTGTCAGATTTTTATACTCATGATCGGGAACCAAAAGATTTCCCCTTTCATACTTCATTGCCGGTGTTCCCGTCCCTTGTACATCATAATAGATGTTCGTGGCCTCTTCCATGGTTAAATCAGGGTTGTTTTCGACTAACTTCTGTATGTTCCTTAAATCTTTATTGTGTATTTCTTCGTCTCTTGTAGTGTATTTATTCTGTATTTGCCTTTTGAATTCGGACTTCAACAAAAACGGAGGCAGTGAGGCACAGAGATTGAAGAAACTAACACAATCTTCCTTCGAGGTGGTAACGCTGCCACTGAACGACATTTTTCTTTTTTGTTGGTCCACTTTGGGAGCATTAGCGATCGAATCTAAGGACCTTTTCTGCGACTGCGAGGATGTCTTTGATCTTGTTTTGGGCTGAGGTAGAGGAGGAGGAGGATGACGACGAGAATTATGTTTTCCCGGCGCTGATGAAGATGGAGGAGGAGGAGTCTCTTTTCTTAGGGCTGTTGAAGATGGAGTTGGACGAGGAGGAATAGAAGGAGACCTCTGTCTTCTCAGGGATGATGGCTCCGGATGAGGAGGGGAGTGATCTCTGTTGGGAGATGGTGAGTGATCATCGTGGGTGGGCGAATACTCGTAGTCGTGCTCATCATCAGAGGACAATTGGTGGTCAAGCTTAATGAAGCGCTTGCGCCAGGCCACTTGAGAGCCCTTGTTATGACCAAGTTTCGGCCTGTCTTCCGCTACGGGGTACTCAATGGGTATCTTGTTATACTTTTTATCGAGTATTCTGTCAATGGTGACGCGAGCATACCCCAGTGGAATTAGGCGGCCATTAATTGTCCCATCTCCCGCAGGCCAGGCCTGGCCGAGCGCCACCTTGTCCTTTGTCCATTCCTGACCGATGTACAACTTGATATTGATGGGTTCAGTGATGTCGTCCACCGGATGAGGCACATTCGCCTCTTCTTCATTGAGCGGGGTCGATCCACAGCTGCTGTGACCCCTAAACTGTGGGCTAAAGGCAGTAGGAGTAGGGTTTTGTGGTACTACTGACCCCTTGGACAGCAAAATTTGCTTGACTCATGCTTCAACAGTCGCCTCAATCCGTGCTTCCATTCTGTCTTCCATCTCTTTTAGTCTCCTCAAATACTCTGCCTCCTGTTCCGCTCTACCCCTCGAGCGGCTCCGGTAAGTGTTAGATTCTTGGGGGAATGCTAGTTTTCAAGGAACAACACCGGTTCCCCTAGTGCGACTAAGGTGCTCCTTGAGCACGTCTTTCTCCCTATTAGAAGTGCGAGTCCCTTGCCTCACCTCCTCAGTTACCTGGGAGATTATCTGGATGAGTTCGCTCATGGGTTGATTTGAAGAGCTAAAGCTCTCATCCTCGGCGTGCCGTACATTCTTCCCCATATAGTATATTATCGATCTAGGCTCCCAATCAACGGTCTCAACCTAAACACCTTCCTCAGCAAGGTGATCCATCTTTTGAAGTTCAGCTTCAAATTCTGGCATCTTTTTGGCGTAGCCACGAGAGCCGAGATGATGAGGATTCGTCGCTTTCTGCGAATTCTCCTTATTCTTCCTGCTCAGTTCTAAGTACTCCTCGGATAACCTGTATTCCTTGAAATCCTGCCTGTCCACCATCGAAATCTGGCTCTTTATTTTGGAGGATAAAATTCTTGTACAATGTCCCATTGAAATTCTTGAAGCATGTCCCCATGATTTCTTTTGCTTTTTTCTTGACTAACTCCCTGTCATACTTGGCTGGGAAAGTGAGATACTTTGGGATCTTGACATCCCATATGTAATCCTTCTCGCTTTCAGGAACCCTCCACCGGTCATCATCTTTCCCAATCCACTTCCTGTACTTAATCGGGATGAAGTCCCTAACAAGTAAACCAAGGATAGTCTTGTATTTGGTCAAAGCTATAGGCGGTGAGAGTGGATCCCTAAATTCATTGAACTTAGTAATGTGCCAGTGTGCATTCCTACCAACAGGAATCTTTAACACGCCTCGCTTGGATCTGGCCTTCCTACTACCCGAACCCTCTGGCTCCTCGGCCGGCGGAGGCTCCTGCTAGAGACACCAAGTAAGCTATGACCCTCTCAATTGATTAGCGTGTGTGGCTACATAGTCACATGATGCCAAAGTTATCTGGCCATCTTGGTCATTTTGACCCAGCTCGAGCAGGCCGGACAGGGTCCATGGCTGCTCGTTCTCACCGTCCAGATTGACACTATCACCGTTTGTCGGATCATGCGGCTCTCCTGTCCCAGCGATATCAGCCGCTTCTTGTTGCCGATCTATTCTTTGGCAATGGGGTAACAGCCGACGATGAGTCATGGCTGTGACACGATCGTGGTTAGTTTTAGCTACGGACAACTACTAATAGTATATGTTCATATATATATAATATGTTTAATGCAAAGTCTACTAATAAGTCCACATACAACAAAGTCAAATAATAGCATATGTTCACCTAGAACAAATTCATTGTTTGATTGACCACATACAACAAAGTCCACCTACTGTTCTACGAAACTAAGCCTACATCAACTTTCATATAAGAAAAGCAATGACCATAGCCATAAATAAAAGCATAACATCTTTCCAAGACCAAGAAGAAATTCTCCTAATCTTCACATCTCCGGTGGGTGGCTTCTCTTTAATCTCCAGTGCTAGCGGATGGCCATGGTTTGCATTCATTGGACCATAGTAGGTCGGTTGCCCATGGTTTGCAAGGTAGGCCGGATGACTATAGTAGGCCCTCAAAGCTTTAGCTTCTGTGTTGTACTTCTTGTGCAAATTACCAGGGTAGCGATTAACTTGAGCATAGCAATCTTCCCAGGTTCGATAAATCCCAGGCATGTGACCAACATGCACTACATACCATACCATGGTTGCCTATACATTTAAGTAAATTAGGTTGTCATTCAAACATGATGTATTCTTATAAAATTTAATATATTTATGAATAATACACAACCATTGCATAGATAGGAGTGTTTGGAAAACAGCTATTCATGTGCCTCAGTAATAGTTACTACAACTTATGATTATATCATCATTGCACATGACCATAGCCTCAGTCCAATTAATATATTAAGTCATCATAACCTTAGTCTAAGTGCATTAAACCC